TATTTTTTTATATTTTTTTATTATAACATGGTATTTTTTATATTTTTGAGGACCTCAGTGGCGGCGAGGTAGAATATATTCGGGCGTGAGTGGTATGTTCGCCGGGTTTTCAGGTAGCACCTACTCGAGAGAGTTTGAATCCCGGTGGGGTAAATTAATATGATAAATACGAATCTAAGTATATGATATACCTAAGCCATGAATGTTAATATTTATTTCTATAAAAATATTCTTAAATCTGTATCATGTTCACTGTCACATCAGTACAATGGTAATTTTAATATTAACAACAGATTATTCTCTTGTAAAGAAACTTGTTCAATACCCGCTAGTATCCAAAGACTTACACCAGAAATCTTTAGAAATTATATAAAACTGAACTATCACCCAGCTACTTTAAGGGTATCGTCCATTGCAAAAAAGAGACAGTTTTTTGACGTACATTATGACTCGATCCCAGACATTGGCAGAATCGTCACGTAATGAGACGCAGCCATAATCACCAAAAAATTGAATGACTCGATAAAAATGTCACTATCTTAATAAATATTAAATAATAATAAATATAAGCAGAAATTTAGCAAAATGAACGATGTGGAGACTATGATATTGTTAATGACTTAATTTTGAGATATGTACCTATTAGTAACTTAAATAACAGACAAAACTATCCGCCCTGGTATAATAGTCCCCTAATAAAATTGTCAAAAGGAAAATATAAATACCACGTTAAATGGAAACATTATGGTAATTTAGATGATATAACATTTTTTCATTGTTACGAAAATGGCTTAAGAAATTAGAACAATAAAACTACAAAAATTACATTTATTTTTCGGAAAATAAAATATTAGACAATCTGAAATATTTTTGGTCGTTCGTAAAATCTAAAAGAGCTAATAGTGACATTCCCGAGAGTATGGTGTACAGGGAAGTCTATTTCTGATGGCGGGGAGATTTGTGAGGCTTTTAACGATTCTTTTAATTCGGTTTTTATATCACCTCGCGGCACACATATTGACTCTCCCACCCAGAGTTCTGAATCTCCTGTAAAAATGTCATTGATACATATAGATTTCGATCTGGTACATCAGGAACTTAATCGGGTCATTGTTAGCAAAGGAGCCGGGAGTGATGGAATCCAACCTATTTTTATTTCTACTTGCGCTACGGAACTCGAATTGCCCATTACTATCATTTTCCAAGCCTCTCTTTCATCTGGTATATTCCCTCAGGTCTGGCAAAAAGATTTGATTATTCCTATTTCAAAGAACAACATACGTAATAGACCTATTTCAAAATTGTGTGTTTTGGGAAAGATCCTGGAAAAGATTTTTACTTCTCAAATGTCTCTTGTTTTCCGTCATATCCGAACAACAACATGTTTTTTTAAAGCACAGCGTGGAAACGAATTTACTTACTTTCGTGGAGCAATTATCGCAGCCACTTAACGAAAACTTATAGGTGGATGTCGTATACAGCGACTTCTTCAAAGCTTTCGATAAGATAAATCACGATTTGCTATCAGTAAGTTGGCAGAGGTCGGTGTGCATGACAGCTTATCAATATGGATAAAATCTTACATCACAAACATAAGTCAAGCAGTCTGTATCATAGGCTATTGTTCACAATTCCTACCGGTGCCCTCTGGTGCCCCCCAGGGATCACATATCTCCCTATTGCTATTTACCTTTTGTATTAATGACATCGGGCAGTGTTTGAAATATAGTAATCATCTTCTCTACGCCGATGATTCTAAGTTTTATAAGTTTATTAAGACAAGTGATGACTGCGCTAAATTACAGGAAGATATATATATCCTTACAAAACTATTGTAAAAATAATCAACTGTTTCTCAATATTAAAAAACGTAACAAAATAACTTATCCACGTAAAAGAATTACAACTGAGTACGAATATAAATTTATCAATAATACAATTATAAGAGTAAATACTATTAGGGATTCAGGTATAATAATGGACTCAAGACTGTTTTTCAGCCAGCATACAGACCACATTTTAAGTCGTGCATTCCGACCTTAAAATCCAAAAAGGATTTGTTGTTAATTTTACCCTTTAAGCAGCGCAGGCAACGGAAGCTTACAAATGGAATATTTTTCCCGTTTTTACCATATTTTCATTGGTCTGTTGCTATTAGTTGTAGCGTTATGATATTCTTCCTCTATACATGCATTATAACATAAAAAAGTTTCGAATCCGGTCTGAAGCCTGGACCGACTGGATTTTTTTAATTTCATAAAATGTTCTTTAATATTTATTGTTTTATATTATATAACCCTAAGTTGATCTCAGGTTGTCTAGTCGCAGTGTGACTAACGCCTATTAATGACTATGACTACACATCATTTCGTCTAGATCTTTAATAATACCTAAGATCGCAAAATGACTAGATCTTTATTTGACCACATGAAATTATGACTAGATCGTAGATGACATCTTTAATATCATCATCAAAAATTTATTTGACCACATCTTACAATGACTAGGTCACAAAATGACTTGCTTGATTAACTAAATAAACTAGTAAAGTTAAGTATAAAAAATTCTATGAATAAAAATGGTTCGCATCCTATCTCATGAACCGTGTGAGGCAGACAGTTGAAATTTTTACAGATGATGTAACAACAAATACTAAAACTGGAATGAATGAATATTAAGCAGAGTTCCTATACGTGATGTTTGTCGTTTTTGCTAAGTAAATAACGTAATGGTATTTAATATATAAATGTTATTTTCCAAAATGTTGTAGTTTCATTTGACTGTACATTAATGTAACAAAATACAAGGTAGACAAATAAGCTATCTTGTCATTTTGCGACCTTGTCATTGTAAGATATGGTCAAACAAAGATGTGGGTTTTTTTAGGATCTTGTCATTATTTCATGTGGTCAAATGAAGATCTAGTCATTTTTCGATCTTAGGCATCATGCGATGTTATGTTATGATGATTAAAGATCTAGACGAAATTATTTGTAGTAATTTTGCGATATAGTCATTAATAGGGGTTATATTAGTCACACTTTATGGACAATCTGAGATCGACCCATTAAAACTAGCTAACCCAGCGAACTTTGTACCCTCATAATATTAGAGGCTTGTTTTAAAAGGTTGATGGTATTTTTATGCCTAATCATAAAAAAAAGAGAAAAAAATATTTAATATTTATACTTTTCTCTTGAACACAGTTTAACTTTGAACATCTTTACCGGTTTTATCCATCTGCAAATCGTAAATGGCTATAAAACTATAGTACATATACTTTCAACTGTAGTGCTCTACTGTCAATAATTTTCGCAGCGTACGCGGTAAAAGGTCTCTTTTTGGTATTTTTTTACACATTGGGTTATATTATCGAATTTTACATACGGATCCCTAACTTTATTAAAAATATGCTATCGCTTATGTTCATCATGGATAATGTAAAATTCTAATTGTGAAAGAATTTTTTAAAGCAGTTCAGTAGTTTCGGAGCTTATTCAATGCAAACAAAAAAATCTTTCCTCTATATAATATTAGTTTATATTATGATCATGAAGACTCTTTTTACGTTGTAGTCGAAAATAAAAACAAATGCCATCTAACGAAGGTTAGTCTTATCGCAAAATTTCAGCCTCGTTATGAAATAAACCTTTGGTATAAAAGTAAGTGCAGGAAAAATCCGCTAGAGTACAGACGTTTTCTTTCAGTTAGTCGTCGACAGATGACGTTACTTATTTTTGCTAACAAGCGTTTAAACCTTTACTCTCTTATTAATAAACTTTGAATAAACTTAGACTAGTTATGCTGTGTTTGGTTCACAGTAATCAAGTGTCATTTGTAATTCACTGAACAGCGACAAAATATAGAGTAACTAATCCAAACTTAATCTTCGTTTATTAAGTTGAGTAATCTTAAGCCATTCAGTACCCTTAGCACGAACCAATATCAAATTTGTATCGTTTGCGAGTCCAAAATGTCATTGTTAAATGTGTACTGATTTTTAGTTCTAGATACGGACTTGGTGACGCTACTGTTCAAGTTTCCATCCAAAATTTGACAATGACATTTCGGACTCGCATACTATTCGAATTCGATATTGGTTCGTGCTAGGGGTACAGAGCATCTGAAATTCAGCCTTATTAGCATTCTTGGATATCACATGCCGATATCAAGTTTAGCAATTATAAGGACTAACTTGTACCCAAGGAATTTATGCAATTACCCAAAAGGTAGTTCTTGGTTGTCATTTGGATTTTCTGTTACCGCCAGTGATAAAATATTTTATGCTAAACCAAATTTGATTTTCATTACAATAAACTTTTTTATCATAATTTTTTTCGGCTCATAATTAAATGATATAAGGAAGTAGGAAATGATACTCAAAAAATACAACGTACCCTTAGTACGAACAAATATCGAGACCAAGAACTAAACATCAGTACACATTTGACAATGACATTTCGGACTCGCAAACTATTCGTATTCGATAATGGTTCGTGCTAACCCTTAGCACCATGATAACTTAACCTAACCTTAGGTAACCAATTATATTTTATTGGCAATTAATCATTAAATATATTTTTGAGAATAATTGAAACATATTAATTTTTTTCTTGCTAAAAAAAAAAGTATCTTGCGTGTTTATTTGCGCATCAACTAATTATGTGAAACCACGGGACACTTGAGCCTTTTCATTGATGTCTGTGGTATAATATTTGCCTGTTGAGTACAAGTTGATGACCGGAAATAATGTGACAAGTTGCCAAACTGACGCCTACAATAGTGTTTGAGGTTTCCAGTCATTAACAGTAGGCTATGGATTTGCCAAAGTACTTACCTCGTGTTTGTGTAGTACGTAGACATGATTATCAGTAGGTAAAGTATTTAACCTGAACTACTTAAGTGGCAGAGGAAAAATGTTCTCTGATAGCTTACATCATTTTATTCTATCATTTATAGAGTTAGTACAATATGCACCATTAAATAAAATGAAATTGAACCCAATAATGTTAAACAAGAAATGTCCTACAAAAATAGAAACACTACAAAACTTTTTTCGTAAGTTTAGGAATATAATAATAAACTTTAAAATCAAATAATTGTGCTAAAATGTTTTGTCTGTTTATAGCGAAAAAGTATAAAGGTTCGCTTTCATATTTGCTGCCTTTACCCACATAATTACATACATAATATAGTAGTATCTAAAGAAAGTGACAAGCTAATCATAGTTTAATTGCTCGGTTATTATAATTAAGAGTTAGTACTTAAAATTATGATATGGTTTTTGAAAATTATCGCAAGAATAAGTAGGTAAGCGAAGCGAAATCAATCAGAATTTTAATTAAAACTAGTTTTAAGGGGTTAATGCGCGCAGCCCTTTCAGGTCTGCTTCGTCAGAATAATTCTGACGAAGCAGACTTGAAAGAGCTGCGAGTGAATGTCAATAAATAAATAAAGTTTCATGCATTAACCCGTTAAAATTTTATTTCATGAGTGATGTGCGTGAAAACCTAAGAAACAAATTAGAATTTTATCAAAAAAAAGGGAATATAAAAAGCTGGTAAGTTTTTCGAGACTTATATTTGCTTATTCAGTGTTCTTTTAAAATACTTGTTGGGTTTGACATACAATTTCTTTTTAACTTTTTTTGTTAAATGGTTATTAAAAATAACTTACAATAACTTTGGTTTGAATTATCTTTTGTAATTTTATACTTCATCCTTGATCCCATTATGAAGGTTTGTGCTGAAAGATTACTAAACGTTATTTATTCATTGTTAGAAAGAGTCTATGAATATTATTTATTAATTAAGATAAAATACAAAACAGACTTTTGAAGAATTTCATTGTCAAAATGTATAAATATAAAATGGCGACTGAAAAGACATATTTGCGCCATGGTACCTATACGTAATTTTTAAGCTTAACAGAAACTTAATTTCAACAAATTAATAGACTAGTTATCACATATTTCATTAAGACGAATCACATTCTCTCTTCATCTTGAGATCGGTGTATTGAATTTTTTCTTTGAGATCTCCTTTCTGCAAGAGAAAAAATAAATTATCTGCAAGTACTGCCAGAATATCGAGGACTTGTAAGTTAATTGGAACACGGTTTATAAGCCAATACGAAAACAAACGATTCCCTTCTTTGATATTTTTGCATGTTATGTTTGTAAATGGAAAAAATATCTCCAAAGCCTGTAATATCTTTTAATGTGTGTATATTTTTCTTTTTCAAGACACTCACAAGATACTTAATTTTATGTATTGTAGTGTATTCAGGTTTATGGTAACTTATTACACAACCGTGATTTATGTGTCAAAATCAATTAACGTTTTCTGTGAGTTAATAAGCTGCCTTTGGTTATATCTTATATAACGAACAAGTAACAATTTAAGTAGCGTATTCTTTAAATAATTTATGACAGGCTGTTAGGCGGTTTTATTCTTTACTTCTTTTTCCAGTTGCAAGCATAAAAAAAGCATAGCGCGAGTAAACATTAAAATTAAAAATTGTGTTGTGGCGGATGTTAGTGCCTAATAATGGTGGATTATTAACCACTAAGTGCTCGGGAACATGCACAAGTGTTGGCAAGTGAAACAAAATAGCAAAAAGTGTCTTTCGACGTTCCCTCAAGAAGTCCACGGGGAGGTTCCAGTAAATCCCCACACTTTGACTGAAACATGGGGAAAGGGGGATTGACTTGACTGCCACTTACTTTGACTTGACTTATTACTTTGACCACGAGTGATATAGTATTTGTATACATTTTAACACTTGACATTGGCTAAATGCACAAGCTGTGCAATACATCTAGAAGAAAAAAAAACATGGATACGTTTACTTTTCTTTGCTTGCTTACTTGAAAAATATTGCATGGAACCCGACTTACTTTAATCCACATTAGCTATTTTAATTTGAATGACGTTGCAATGAAGTCCTTCCATTTTATTACACATTATTTTTTTCTTCACTCATGCAACTAAGTAGTCGACAAATTCATTCTCTGATCTCCAATGGCTTTTATTAAGTCTATGGGCTGATGAATTCCAATATTTTTAATGAAGTGTAAGGCTGATAAAAATATCTCCATTATAAAATAATACACGGGAGACCTTGTACTAGCAAGAGTATCGACATCATATGCAGCTTTAATTTTATTCGAGTTAGGTATCTTTAAAAAAGTGTACCTATTAGTGTAACAAAAAAGTGTACCTATGATTTCACAGTCTTTCTGTCGGGTTTTCAACAGCATGGGTCCAAGGTGGTTGGTGAGCAGGAATCCTATGGGCGTAGTGATCAATATGAGTTGTATCAGGAGCTGCATTATGTTCTCAGCCCACTGTCTCTCCATTGTGTTACCTCGATTCCCTAATGCGGCAATGGTATCCAATGCCACTGGACAAAGCACAGCCTAAAAAAGCAATCAATATAAAAGCTAATAAATTTTTTTAGGAGTGACATTCAGTTATCGTAGCATACCAGCCGGCCTTTTCGCTAACTTTTTTGACATGTACAGTGTGTAACCATAGATAAAATTGCATATTCAAGCTTTTTAACCACGTATTTTAGTGGCGTTATAATAAAGCAGTTGAGGAGCTGGCGAACAAAACGGTATAATTACGCATTTGGTCAAAATACTTTTATTTTTAAGTCCGGCGATTTTGGGCCCGCTGAATTTGAATCTCAACTCATTTTAAATCAAAACCACCTAAAATAGTGTTAAAATTACTAAATTAAAAACCACGCGAAAAGCTCACTGTAGGTATGTCATACAGTTTTTTACTGCTCGTGTAAAATTTAATTTTATGTAGTTAAATCGTTTTGTTTGCTATCTCCTCAGTTGTGAATCACTAAATAGCTCGGTGATTTTCACTTCCATCTGTCAAAAGCAGTAAACGAATAGGCCTACTGAACAATAATAAAGGTAGACATTCTTTCCGGTAGTGAACTGTTTAGGTCATATTTTAAAATAATTTGACAAACTATAGCAAAGATAGTTTGTTAAACAAGCATATTGCTCAACTTATGCCTGTGCAGACGAGGGATATCTGTCAAACTTTATGACCGCAAAAATAGATCGCTTATAACTGCATTGAGTACCCACACGAGGTGTTTAAAGTACAAATAACCGAGGACGCCGAGAGACCAGTACCCCTAGCACGAACCAATATCAAATTCGAATAGGTTCATGCTAGGGGTACAGACTGGATAAAGGTACAGGGGTGTTGCCGAAAAAATAGAACTCATGTGACTAGGTGCAGCAAACGAACACAGCTGACTTAAGTCTGCGTTCCGCGCTCGATCAGATAAAAATAGGGATGGGCTCAGTATTTTCTTCATCATCATCATCATCATCATCAGCCTAGCAATGTCCCTACTGCTGGGGCACAGGCCTTCCCTATGGATGGATTAGGGAGATTGGGTCATGAACCACCACACGGGCCCAATGCGGGCTGGTGGGTGCTAACTACTGCAGATGCAGCCGGGACCAACGGCTTGACGTACTTTCCGAAGCACGGAGGAACTCGAGATAGTAAATTTTGGTCACCCATCCAATAACCGACCACTGCGAAAGTTGCTCAACTTCAACGACCGCAGCCGAACGCACTTACCACTGGCGCCATCGAGCTCTTCAACCTCGAACTCGAGATCAGTATTCTTTGATTACAACGCAACTTAATCTCAGGGTATTTTCGTTCATAACGTGTGTTTCTCTAAATTTCCGGGCAACAAATGTCCGCACACCGTTTGCGTTGAGTCCGTGACAAGTTCTCGGAGAACATTTTTTTTAACATTAGGTGACTTTTGCTCTCCATGGATAAAAGTTCCTCGTCTGCGCAGGCTATTATTCTATCAGAGCATAGATATATCATTCTGTATCCGAAAATGAGATGATAAGAATAGATGACAACTTCAACTTAAATCAACCTTGAACATTATTCTGAGATTTGAATTTAAACATTATCTGACTTTTATAAAAAAATATGGGCGATTAGTTAAATGTCATTAACTTCATAGGAAATTACAATCAACGGAAATTCACACACTTATTTTTGTGAATAGATACCTAAGTCTTGCGTGAAACGCGGAAGAAAGAGCCATTAGACTGTACAAGGATTGTATTTATGTTACCGATTCAAATTTATTATTCACTTACCTCTACAATAGATTTCGGCATCCACGTACAACAGATAAATATCTTCTCCCGAAAAGTGAAGTCCCAGCACGTGAGGTATGCCACAGCCAGGCGGACGAACAAACACACAGCTAATATGCCGAAGCCAGGTAGTAACACATTCGCTAGGTTTTTGTTGATCTGAAAATAAAAGATGGAAATAATGTCTATTTTATATTTTTTTTTTGTTATTTGCTGCTAGATTTTTATGTCTAATATATCTATATAGTACACATTTGGAAATTCGAGATGTTTACATTTGGGACCTATTTCTTTTAATATGAATAAAAAGGTCGAATATATATTTGAAACATGAATTAGAAATCTTTTTTATATCATGACACTATTTTTAAACACTTACCTTATTTATTGAAGTTATACTTCTTTAGCCGCGTTATGAAAAAATTATGAGAGTGAAATTTTAAGATGCGCGCGCACACTGTAACACAAAAGTAACATAATGAAGTTAGCCGCGGGCGCGTTATGAAAAAATGATGAGAGTGAAATTTTAAGATGCGCGCGCAACACTGTAACAGAAAAGTAACACCATGAAGTCGGCCGCTAAACCGCACATTACTCGTAAGTCTCGAAAAAAAGCTTCCAACAAAATAGTAATAGGATCTCTTAGTCGCACATGTTGGGACGCTCGTCGCCTCTGATCACTGTTTTCATATTTATAATATTTATCCACATGTTTCTAGTTTCTATATTCTTAACACGTGTTGTAATGTTATTCAAATGCGAAATTTATATGTGCTAATAAATTTTATTCAGTAGTGATTTAAATTGAATATTTTGATTATTTATTAAATTTTTTAAATTAAAACTGAACTTATTGACTGCGTTGACTATCCTTTTCCAATCATTTTATTATCTTACTGTAATTAATTATCTGCATGCAATTAAAAACTATTTTTTAATAATTCCAAAAAGAAGTATAACTTCTCACGCGCGTACTTAAGTACACGCACCCATATTTTCTATTTATCCATCGATCGTTAAAATAAAAAAAGTGTTTAAACTTCTCGAACAAGGACATTTATGAAGACAATCAAAGCGAATGTAGTCAAGTTTTATTGAAAGATTTAGCCAGATTTTCACAAAAAGAAACTCTTTCACTGTCGTTATTTTTTTATAGACTTTTTACAATAGCATTAGGAAGAATGGTTAGTAAAGGCATGTTCTTATTAAATTAGTAAATCAGCAAAAATCAGAATTAACAGTTCGCTCCTCCCGCTCCTCCGGGTTGTCATGTTGGGACGTATACAGAACAGCAATGCTATTCCGTAAGAGCAAACTCACTTTTCACAGTGGAATTCGCTGGTGTGATTTGAAATTTATTTGAAATTCGCGCTCTTTTTTCAAATTACATCGCGGATTCCGCAGTGAAAAGTGAGTTTGTTCTTATAGAACAGTACTGCACTTGCTTCTTATCAGGCGTATGAATGCGGAGTTAGCGAATCCTCTGTCCATGAGCGGAATTCTAAATTCAAATTATAAGCAGTGCATATTGCATTGTCATACCAACGTATTCAGTTGAAATATGTAATAACTTTTATCTATTTCTGTCTGTACACAACCTTAGGAGGGTCCCAAATTATAACTGTCTTTCCTTTTAGGGTGGGGTTTTTAAGAAAAAAAAACGAGTGTGCTTATGACCACACGATTGTATTGAAACTTCTTTAGCTCCACCCGCATGTATATACATATATGAAATGTGCGCGCGCACTGCTTTCTCTTGCTTATATGCCCCACTCAACTCCCGTTCGCCTCGCCCAAACACACTTTTCGTAACGCGTAACGTTTTCGCCAGCTTACCCCCCAAGTCAAGCGTGCGTAAAGAAGTTTCACTACAATAACAAGAGTTTTATCAGCCTAGTCCAAAAGGACCATGGGTATATAGGGGCATAGCGTGGTCATACCAGTAGGTCAATCAGTGAGACCACGGGTTCCTTTTAAGTTTTGTAACTCACCTCAAAGAAAGTTCCCGAGTAAGCGAACACCATGGGCTCCAGCGTAGACCACATGATACGGTAGGCGGTTGCGGCTGGATTTTTGTTCAGTGTCCAACCGTCCTGCGCCCAGAACGAGGCCGCAGTAGCGTTGCAAACTAACACAGCTACTCCCGCTAAAAAGACATAAATAAATATGATCTCAAAAGCGCATTGTTACTTATATAATTGTTTTAACAAACAAGGCATTTCATAACCCCACCAAGTGAAAATGGAGTCTAAGGACCGCTTCAGCCAAGCTCACCCTGGTAGCCTTTAGACCATCCCTAACCCGTATCTCCACGCAGGTCGTCAAAATGTAGGTTTATTTATTAATCCTAATTGTTTTCTCTTATTTTCTACTAGCGGCCGCCGACTTATTGGAGTGGATGGAGTTACAGATGCGTTGAAGAAATAAAGGTTCACTGTTCGTTCCCCGTAGGTGATAGCGTGATAATATGTAGCCTATAAAATATGTTGACCCGACTTCTTAATAATATTCGGGCCATATTTAAAGTAAATCCATGCAGTAATTTTTGAGTTTATCCCGGACATACATACATACAAACAAACAAAATTATCAAAACTATATTTTTGGCTTTGGTATTGATTTTAGATCACATCCCAAGTAGTCTTTTAAAAAAATATTCAATGTACAGTTTTGATTTTTCTACCATTTTATTAAATGTATAGATCATTATTTCTGTGATGAGGAGTTAAAGAATTGTATACTTCAATCCTATTACACAGGTTTTTTGTTCTTAATAGCATTTTTTTTTCAAGATATTGGTTGGTTTTTTGTAGGGGTCTAATTGAGCGGGTAATCTCTTATAGCCACTTTAAGCATACTTGTCCGTACGAAGTAGGCAGTGCATAATTTATAAATAATATAATTTTGAAAATATAGTATTACATATAAAACAGCATAATTATCTAACGCGAGATAGACATACATAGCTTATAGGAATCTACGGTCTATGCTGTGCCATAAATTGATTTACATGGTCAGCAATATGTTTGTGTTTATGGGGAAGTGCTCACTCCATACAAACTTTATTATAGTATTGTGGGAGCCTAGACTTCGTTATAATATTGGGTATATAGGGACTTGGAAATGATCACTACGAATGCCAACACTATGTATCACGTGTTTACACATGAGTATGACTTTTTGACACTTCAACCATTACAATCCTAACCTAACCTAACAAAAAAAGAACTTTAAAACCCTGGATAACTCCAGGTCTGTTACGCTGCATAAGGAACCGTGATAATCTGTTCAAAAAGCACAAAACATCCCCCAATGATGAAACAATTAAACTCACATATTCGAGATATAGAAACTACTGTAATGCATTAATAAAAAAAGCAAAAATCAATTACAACAAAGATTTAGTCACAAAAGCTGGTAAAGATAACGGGAGGTTGTGGAAGGCAATTGGACAGATTACAAACACTGTTAAAATGAACCCACAATCGACTGAACTTCTCAAAGTTTCATCCACCCAAACGGAGTCAATAAATGCCGTGAATTCTTATTTTACAAGAGTGGGCGAGGAATTAGCAGAAAAAATTGCTTCTAATAAGCTCCCTAATCATGCAAAGGCTGTAAGACACATACCGACAAGAACGGCATCATTTGCAATGTTAAATACTGATGAAGATGAAGTCGAGTGTTTTATAATGAGTCTCAAGGCCGTGTGCACTGACGGTTGGGATGGCATCTCCAATGTATTCATAAAACAATTTAGATCATTTCTCATCGCTCCTTTAACACATATCTTTAACCTTTCCCTCAACTCAGGAGTTTTTCCCTCTGCTTTTAAACACTCTATCGTTCATCCAATTTACAAATCTAGTGATAGAGACTGTGTCGGGAATTATCGGCCTATATCAATTCTCAGTGCGTTCTCTAAGATCTTGGAAAAAATTATTAACTCTCGACTCGTGAACTATCTAGAATCGAACGGTCTGCTTTCTAATAATCAGTTTGGATTTCGACGTGGCAGATCTACCACCGAGGCTGTGCATGAGTTGACAGATTTTGTGGTTAAAAACAAGGGTAACAAGGTGATAGGCCTTTTTCTAGATCTCGCGCGGGCCTTCGACACGGTCTCGATACCAATCTTATTGAAAAAGTTAGAATCATATGGCTGTAGAGGTGTGCAATTAGATCTGTTGACAGACTATCTTTCTCATAGAACACAAAGTACCAAAATAGGGGATTATGTAAGTGACAAAGCTCAAATCAACTACGGAGTTCCTCAGGGCAGTATTCTGGGCCCTACACTTTTTTGGTATATATTAATGACCTGTCTTCCTTGCAGATTCCATTTGCCCGTATTATATCGTACGCAGATGACACATGTCTTCTTTTTTCTGCTTCCACCTGGGAATTGACACAGGATGCTGCCCAACAGGGATTCAACTTAATTAATAGCTGGTTAAAAACTAACTTGTTAACCCTTAACACCGATAAAACGAAATACGTCAAGTTTTCCATGCGTAGATTGCCATTAGAAGAGAGAGCGGGTCTCCCCGCTAGAGCTATAATTTCACATGAATGCAACAATTTTGAAGAAATTGAATGCTCATGTAATAAATCAATACAACTTGTCTCAAACATAAAATATCTTGGTGTAACGATTGACAGTAATTTGTCATTCAAAAATCATCTGCAATTGATGTCTGCCAGGTTGCGTAAACTTATTTACATTTTCAAAAATTTGCGATATGTGTTGGATAAGGAAGCATTAAAACGTATATATTTTGCACTTGCAAGAAGCCTACTCACATACTGCATCACTTCTTGGGGAGGGGTTGCAAAGGGTACCCTAAAGCAAATAGAGGTTGCGCAAAGGGCTATTTTAAAAGTATGTGGATTCTTCCCCTTTAGATACTCCACCGAGGTTCTTTATCGCCACTGGCAAGTTTTAACAGTTCGTCAACTTTTTATTTTGGAGACTGTGCTAAAACAACACTCTGCAATTGCATATGAGGCAGGTAGTAGTATCGTTGGTAATAGACAAAGGAGCAGGAGTGTTTTCCGACTTATGCAGTTAGAAAAGCTTTTACGAAAAGGTATTCTTGTTTTTTGGGTGGCTTTTTGTATAACAGCATAGAAGACTAGAAATATACACATGTAATACTTACGAATGCAAAGTAAAGGTGCACGAATGGTTGAGTCCCATGAATTATGACAGCACGGAGTCCCTCTTTGTAACGCAACAGTAATGTTTAAATAACCTAGGTTTAATGGACAAATAGCACTAAACTAAGTAATCGCTAAATTATTGAGGAAGAAGTAGAATAAAAATATAGGTAACATTTATAAGTTATACGTCAGTTATGTTATCATATGTGTCAATGTAGGATAATTTCTGTGGGGTGGGAGCCTGGCGAGCTGTACTACAGGCCTTTAATGCCTACTTCAGGCACCAGCTTCTCACACTTCAAATACGCAGCTTTTGAAATACTTAATGATGGCTGATGCTTAACCGACTGTATTTGTATAAATTACCTATAGCTTTTTGTAAATTTCAGTGTGTGAGAAGAGAACAAATAAATATTATTATTATTTAAGACCACAAATAAATAAGTAACAAAAAATACAATTCCGAATAAATCTATATGGAATGATGTTTCTTAAGAATATTTTTATGTCTACTTCAGTATGTAACATAGTAAATTGATAATACACATTATTATCTATAAAAGTAAAACAGTAAAATCTAAACATTACGTAGAAATATAATTTAAACTTAAACTCGCAAAATCGTACAACGGGCTTAGTAACTCGTCGGGATCTAGTTACGTACGAGTATTTTGATGTCGTTTGAATGTCAGCTGCGTTCGACTTGGTGCAATGTTGTTTTTCTGTCGATGGTGCGATTTCAGGTTCTTTCACATCGTGCACTATGAACGCTTGCTTTAATCCGTCAATTGACACCACGGATTTTCTGTTTCGTAATAGAATTCAAAATATTTTTCTTGTTTTTCTAAAACTTTGAACGGGCCTTCATATGGCGCAACTAATGGTTTTTTCACCGCATCCGTTCTGACAAACACATAGTTACATGTTTTCATCACACTAATATTATAAAGGGGAAAGTTTGTGGGTGTGGACTGTGTATGTTAGTAACTTCTTCGTGTCTAAACGGCTGGAGCGATTTTAATACAATTTGGTATGAAGTTAGCTATAGGCTTATAGCACATAGGCTACGTTTTACTGCGGGAAAATATCCCTAATAAACCGCGGGTAATACCGCGGGGCACAGCTAGTGTCTATATAAATAAAAGTATTTCTTAATGTTTTTATTTATTTTTTAAGCATTTAACTGCTAGATGTTGCCTTGCAGCTTAAGGCTAGGAAGATTTCGACGCGGCGAATAGGGCCGTGGTAGCATAATGGTCAGTGAATTCGCCCGGATTGCGAAGGATGCGGGTTTGAGTCCCGTCCGCTGCCTGGTCCGCGTGGATTTTTTTTCTACTAAACTTTTCTTTAGATTTAAACATCTAGCAGTTAAATGCTTAAAAAATAAATAAAAACATAACTATAATTGCTATTTCTTCTTTCAAATGTTAAATACTTGAAAAAGTATTCATTTGACATTGTGGGTTACCTACAATGCGAAGAGATGGCGCTGCCTTGCAGCTTAAGGCTAGGAAGATTTCGACGCGGCGAATAGGGCCGTGGTAGCATAATGGTCAGTGCATTCGCCCGGATAGCGAAGGATGCGGGTTCGAGTCCCGTCCGCTGCCTGGTCCGCGTGGATTTTTTTTCTAGTAAACTTTTCTTTAGTATTTCTTAATGATTTCTTGTTGCTAGGGATGGGTTTGATGTTTTACATATATTATATTGTATATATATTATTTTCATTGTAGACGTTCGACAAAGGAGTCTGGTGCGATGTTAATTTTCTTATTTTTTTTTTCGATAAATATTCCAGGTATTCTCACATTACAGCCATAAACCAATTTCGCGGCGCTGACATTGCAAGCTTCTCGTATCGTTGTTCGCATTCCTAATAATACGGTAGGAAACTCATATGACCAGTCTTGGGAGTAACCGCGGGCTATGATAGTGCAGTTTTCATAGTCCTATCCCATCGCTCGATCATTCCATTTGATTGCGGATGATAACTTGTGGTTTTGATTTTCGTTATTCCTAATAATTTGGCTGACGATATAAACAGATTGGACTCAAATTGACGACCCTGATCTGTTGTTATTCTTGCAGGAGATCAGAATCTTGAGATCTATGTGGTGTATAAGGTTTGCGACTACCTCGGCGCTTACTTCTCACTACAACTCTTCTCTTTACAACTCGTAAAAGGCTCGACGAATGTGATGATATATCTGTTGTTATTTGATGTTGATAAGGGCCCGACCACATCTATATGCACGTGATTAAATCTCTCTGACTCGGAAACTGAATAAGAGGTGCTTTGTTGTGACATGAAACTTTAGCTTTTTGACAGTCTAAGCATTATTTGGTCCACTTGCTTGTGTCTTGATTCATATTCGGCCAAAAATAATATTTTTGAATTAATTTTATTGTTATATGTTTATTTTTTAAGCATTTAACTGCTAGATGTTTAAATCTAAAGAAAATTTACTAGAAAAAAAGTGTTCAGCGTGGATTTTTTTCTAGTAAAATTTTCTTTTCTTTTCTTGTTCTAATTCCTGGGTGCGTGAGGTCATGTCATATACCGAATATTTATTTTCGAAATATTTTCAGCACATACGGTCGCATTTCCTTTGTCAATTCTTCGCAATATAACTCTGCATTGGAAGAAAGCCTCATTGTTTTCCACTTTATTTTTTTATTCCACAACAGTTGCATCATTTAGGCTCAGCCACTAGTTGTTTTGCTAATTTGTGTCAATCAACTTGAATAGGGCAATCTATTTGCGAAATTCTTGCATTCGGCTATGGTGTTTTGTTCTCCGTCGAGGTGTCGTATATCAGATGTAAATTGTGTCATGTAGTCTAAATGTCGGAGAGGTCTTGGTGATATTTTTTCATTTGAGACGGTCTGGCGCTGTTTAAATGCAAATGACAATAGTTAGTGGTCTGTATACACTAGAGTCTCGTGATCTTCGCATGATGCACTTGGTGTGTTTTGCGACTTATCATTCGATTGCGTTTTTCATGAAACATTGATCAGGAAACTACAGCACTATGGATTTGGAGATACCACTCTGGATCTTATTGTATCGTATTTGAGTGATAGGGTTCAGAGGGTTGACATCAATGGAGAAAAATCTCTTGGTTCGTCGGTTAAGATGGGGGTTCCGCAGGGCTCAATCCTTGGTCCTTTCTTATTTTTAATTTATATCAATGATTTGCCCTATTTTGTAAAGGATAACCATGAAATAGTATTGTTTGCGGATGACACTTCACTTTTGTTTAAAATTAAACGTAGGCAGTCGCAAATTGACGACGTGAACAAGTCTATTTCTAAGGTAGTCCACTGGTTTAACGTTAATAATTTACTGCTATATGAAGGGAAAACTAAGTGTTTGAAATTTGTTTTACCTAATGTTAAACAGGTAAAAACGAATGTAAATATAAAGGATCGAAATGTGAGCCTTGTAGATATCACAGTGTTCTTAGGAATCACACTAGATTCAAAGTTGCAATGGGGCCCACATATTGATAAATTGTCGAAGAGACTTAGTTCTGCAGCATATGCTGTAATGAAAATACGTCAGTTAACGGATATAGAAACTGCCAGATTAGTCTACTTTAGTTATTTTCATAGTGTAATGTCTTACGGTATTTTAATGTGGGGAAATGCCGCCGACATTCAAACAATATTTGTGTTGCAGAAGCGGGCTATTCGATCAATTTATAATCTTAAAGTTAAGGACTCCTTACGAGATAAGTTTTAAGAAATAGGCATTATGACGGTTGCATCACAATACATATATGAAAACTTAGTATATGTAAAAAAAAAATATTAGTTTATTTACTAAAAATAGTGAAATACATACACTTAATACTAGAAGTAAAAATAAGTTAACTTTACCTGCTACTAGGCTCCACAAAATTAATAATTCGTTTAGAGGCCTCTGTGTTCGCTTTTACAGTCCCAAGCAATATTCAAGAGTTAAGTCTGACTAAATTTAAATCGACCATTAAAAAATCTCTTGTTAAGAATGCTTATTATAAAGTGTCTGATTATATTTCAGACAAAAATGCTTGGGTTTGAACTGTTCCAACCATTCCAATGGGTATTTCTATATGATATATACTTATTATGAATCATGTGTTGATGATACTTATATTGAAAAGCTGTATTTAAAGTTAATTACGTAAGGAAGAATATCAGACTTATTAAGAAGATTTGAATGACAAAACGGCATGATCATGATTTCTCCATTGTTTTTGCTTTGTAATTGTTTGCAGTGTCCTACAGATAAATGACTTTAAGTAAATATGTTGTGGTTGATGTAGGTGGTTATAGGTAGTCATGCTCTCTTAAAAGTCTCTTTGGTGGTGTCGTGTGAGGCGGGTCGTTACGTTCCCTAAAATATGGTTGAGCGAAGCGATGGCTGGTTCATGCGTCATGCTCGTGAACGGGTGCTGCCAGCGGAGATGAGTCTGCTCTAACTACTTTGATATTTAAGATGTAAATGTTTAATTACACCTATTATAAATAACTCTGTTTGTATTTATACTGTGTGACACAGCAATCAAAATGCAGGTGAACAATTAATGTATAATTTCACATTATGTAATGAAAGGTGACTTCATGAATTATCTCTGAAGTCATTTTTCAAATTGACGACACTGTAAATGATAAAACAGGGAGAAAAAAACAGCCCTTGCTGAGTTTCTTGCCGGTTCTTCTCAGTACAAGGTCTCCCGCCGTAGATTTACGAACTGATGGCGTAAATTCTAGACATTCATATGTGCTTGTAACAGCCTAGACTGAATAAATGATTTTGATTATTATTATTGATTATAGCTCTGGAAATGGTTGTATACCTGTTTTGAACCATGTCTTTAACCTCTGTCCCACTACTGGTGTATTCCCTAGTGTTTTTAAAAGGGCAATTGTTCACCCTATTTTTAAAAGTGGGAAAAGAGACAGTGTCACAAATTATAGACCCATTTCCGTGCTTTCTGTTTTCTCGAAAATCTTAGAGAAAATACTAAACAAAAGATTAATTGACTTTCTGAATGCTAAACAAACTATTTCAACAAATCAGTTTGGTTTTAGAGCGGGAAAATCCACTGAAGATGCGGTCCTTGAAATTACTGTGTCAATTGTCGAAAACTTAAACAAGAAGTTGAAGCCTCTGTGCCTCTTTTTAGATATTTCAAAGGCTTCTGACACTGTCTCGGTCCCTATACTATTGCACAAATTGGAAGTCTTGGGGGTCCGTGGGTTGGTACTGGAATTGTTCAGAAGCTATCTTAGAGGCAGATATCAGTGTGTTACCATTAATAATATCACCAGTAACGAGAAATCAAACATATCTGGAGTTCCTCAGGGTAGTGTGCTGGGCCCGACCCTATTTCTAATATATATTAATGGTTTGTGTCAGCTGTGTCTGCCGAATTGTAAAATTGTCACCTACGCAGATGATACGGCAATTCTTGTACATGGACAAAATTGGGAAGAAACTCGAGCTTACTCTGAATGAGCCTTAAAAACAGTTTTATCATGGCTTTCCAATAACATGTTGCTTGTAAACCTAAAAAAAAACTTGCTATATTACATTTGCACCTAAACTTCATTCTCAACCTGATGCCTCATTTAGAATAACTGCTCATAAGACTCAGTGTCCCACCATAGAAAACCTTTCGCTTGTATTTTGCAAATGTTATGAAATATTACGTTTAAATAATGTGAAATATTTAGGTGTTATCGTTGACAGTGTAATGTCCTGGAGGGATCATATTGAATCGGTTTCTTCTCGTATCAGGAAACTGATATTTATCTTCAGGAAACTACGTATCAGTGCTGATGAGGGTACATTGAAGACAGCTTACCTAACACTAGCTCAATCAATATTGACTTATTGTATCACCGTCTGGGATTCCTCTGCAAAAACCAATCTCATGTTACTTGAACGGGCTCAACGAGCAGTACTAAAAGTTATGGCATCAAAACCTATTTGGTACTCAACAGTTCAGCTTTATGAGTTATGAAAGGTTTTATCGGTTCAAAAACTATACGTTTCTAATGTTATCTTGCGTAAGCACATATCCTGCACTTATAATCCCGAGTTAGCTTTAAATATTAGATTAGCTAACAGAATCTTCAGGATTGCAAAACTGCACAACGATGCTGGCTAGACGGCATTATTTGTACCTTAGCTCAGTTTTGTACAATAAAATTAATTATAAATTACATATTTACAGTTTACCATATCGTGAATGTAAAAGTGTTTTGAATAGTGGCTGCTTAGCCTTCGATATGAAGATATCGAATCTCTTATACAGTAAAATAATAAATAAAAAATGATGTAAACCTACAAAATACAAAGAGAGATACACACACACACACACACACACACACACACACACACACACACACCCGCACACACATACACTCACACACAGTCACAAACACATACGCAAAAACGTTTTTATAAATGTTAAAGTTAGTATTTTTAGTGTTTATTGTTACTAGTTATCATGTTCGAGGTGGGGCGCTAATAACTGCAACACAGTCTCTGACTAATGTAGTTATAAACGTTTTACATTGTTCTGTACAAACTATTTAATTGCAAATAAAGATTTTTATTATTATTATTATTATTGCTCACAGCTCTCGATCGTACGTGCTGTATCCTTGTTGCGTTTCTGATAACGATTTAAAGAAAAATGCTATCGGTTTCCATTCATCAATTATTTTTTCTTGAAGAACGCTGCCGGCACAAGTTTGAGATGAATCTCTCATTGTTTTGAAAGTCCTGTTTATTATAAACGTATGTTACTGTTTCATTATTAATATATATTTAATGAAATTTCTATAATTTTAAATAACAAATATATGTACGTTTATATTGAATTCTGCACTTACCAACGCCACCCCACCCGAACATTGACGTCACCATGTTAGCGAGCAGGCCAAGCGCTACCACCATGATAACTCTCAACTCAGTCACATAGAAGTCACGGGATGAAGGTAACTTTCCGGCCACGGTGCCCATAATGATTCCAAGAGCGACGCCAGCAAAAAGTCCTAGGCCTGCCTGAAAAATAAAAGAATTACCTTTAAACATGACTGTCGACGTAGCTGCGTAGTAAGTAAGTACTATATCTGACAGTAAATATGTGTCAACGGGACATATTTTAAACTAAGAACTCACGGAACAATTTCCACCCACGCCCGACTTGGCAGAGGGGCCGCAGCTCGCGTAATAGCCTGCTCAGACGAGGAACTTTCGTCCGCGGTATTCTTTTGTACATAATAGATCGCTTACAACTGTATCGAGTAACGCACATGACGGATTAAAAATACCGCGTACAAAAAGTCCCCCGAATAACTGAGGACACCGGAAGCAGGGTTGCCAGATTTGTTTGGGCTAAGTCGCCACTTCGTGATGAAAAGATAGCCCAAAGTAGCCAAATTTGAAAATAGGTACGCTAATAGAAAATTAAATAGAACTTTATTGTCAAGGTACGTATTTATTTATTTAAACTTTATTGCCACAATTACTAAAATGGACAAAAGGCGGACTTAACGCTAAAAGCATTCTCTGCCAGTCAACCTTTAGGCATAAAGAAATCCACGAATGCGGCTATAATAATAAAAAAAAAGTGATTTACTTTAAACATACACCAGTAAAAGTAACAATATAAATATTTATATATCATACACATACATAGACACATAATTATTATTAACACCGTTTATAAAATATATTGATGATGAGACTGTGAAGAGAAATTGTGAGTTAAACTTAACGTTCTTAGCTTTCTAGGAGAAGTTCATGAACATTCTTCTTAAAACTGCACCTAGTAGGTGACCTTCTAACAGAGTCAGGGAGGCTGTTCCAGAGTCGTGAAGATTGGAGGGCAAAGGAATCAGACATATAGCCAGAGTGAAAGAGAGGAAGAGATAGTGCAAGAGTATCAGTAGAACGAAGTTGAAGGTCATGTGAGTCACAAAGATATTGAAAGGACATTGTTCAGCGTCCATACATAGTTAGCCTAAGAACCAACAATCATGAAATATTATTTTCTAGGTTCAAAATCGTAAGTACATGACTGTAAAAACAAAGATTATTGACGGACACTTCTGAGAACTTAAATTATTAGGAAAACTAAAAAAAATTGAGGTTATGTTTAATATTCAATGAAACATAGGTCAACCTATGAATTTAGTATGAACTCAGTATGAAGTGAATTAATATTACAACTAATTCATTTTATTCGGTGCGGTTTTAAAGAATAACTATTAGGAAAAACTTGGTTAGGTAGGAATCATGAATAAAATAAAAACTGTAGTTTTGCTTCTTATTTATTGACCATTTTTCACATAATTGTATCATATTGTTTATTGTATATATTTGTATATCACATGTAGATTGTGTAAATATGCAGCGTGAATGTGTATCAGGTGTTCTTGAATAATTTGGCAGTATGATCCTCTCAGGATGTTATGGCACAGGTTCACTAGCACTGGGTAATAAGGGCTCTACTCTTTGGTAACATCGATGGCATATTAGATAGCCGAAATACTTAAATTAAAGGAAAAACAATCGCAAATAAACACACACAACAGGTAATCCGAAACGAGAATGCACTTTCCGGTATATTATACTACTCTTTGGAATGCACGAATGCCACTTACACTTACTACAAATGCAAACTGCATGCACCACAACTACAGAGTAACGAGTTTAATGCAGGCCCTTTACTTGACAACAGTTTGTCCTTGTCATGTTTAATAAGGAATGAAAAGGATAGACTGATGTCATGTTTTAAAATAGCAAATACGAATAGCCAAGTGAAGTGCTGGCATTAGGAAGAAAGAGTGTTTTGTTTGCAGCGCTGCCATAGATTATACACATAAAATGGTATTTATTGTCTCAGATTATTTTTTAACTTTTTAATTTAGCTTACTTAACTGGAAGTGTCCGTCACAATCTAAATACTGATAATTATCGCAAAAAATATACTAAGAATTATCATAAATGCCAAATTGGTGTTGGTTCTTAGGCCAATTTTAACATTGTCCTTTGGATCGTAAGTATTCTGGAGAGTAAGGGTTGAACAGGATAGAATATAGAGTACACAGCATTCTCTGCTGCCTTCTTTGACGTATAGGAAGCCATCTAAGTTGAGATCTGAACGCCGATATGTGGTCAAATTTACGCAGGCAGAAGATGAAACGAATGGCATTGTTGATGAGACGATCCAATTTGTTCAGAAGATCAGCATTCAGATCGGGATAGCAGACATCAGCATAATCAATGAGCGGGAATATGAGAGATGTAACAAGCAAAATTTTTGCGTTAATGGGGAGAAAATTTCTAAATCTGTTTAAAACACAAAGTGAGTAAATAACTTTGCGACTTACTTCGGCAATTTGTGTGTTCCAGCTAAGAGAAAAATCGATGTAAATGCCAAGATTTTTGACACTTGTGCTAAACGGAACAATCGTGCCCTCATACACGATAGGCTGGAGAGACCCATAATCAATTTTGGCAATTTGTTTAGAGCCACCTACGATAATGGCCTGACATTTTGATGGATTTTCAAAATTTAATTTCAAAATCGGCGGACCAAACACTGATACGTTGCAAGTCATGGTTTAACGTTTCGATGGCCATATCAACATCCTCAGCCGACGTCTGAGTATAGATTTGTAGGTCATCAGCATAGAAATGGTAAAAGCAGCCAAGCGAGAAGGAAAGGAGGTTAATAAAAACAGAAAAAAGTAAAGGAGAAATTATCCCACCCCGGGGTATTTAATCGACGTTTTAGGAAAAGGAGATGGTTCAAAAGTGGTAGTCGGTTTCCGGCATTGACGAAACATAATTATATCATTTGAAAGCTTGTTTTATATTATAACATGAACAGATACTTTTAATTTTTTATTTATGTTCGAATAATTTTAAATCGTGTTTGAATATTGAATAATTTTTAAGGATGCTGGCCACCCTGTCATAAGTAACGTCATATTTTTAGAGTGTGAGAGCTTATAACGTCAACTCAATCACTATGGCAAATGTCAATCAGAGCAGTCATACATGATATTCGTGAAATCGTGATGAACTGTACCCCTAGTACGAACTAATATCGAATTCGAATAGTTTGCGAGTGCGAAATTTCAATGTCAAATTTTGTATGAAAACTTGAACAGCAGCGCCATAGCGTACGTAACGAGAACTAAAAATCAGTACACATTTGACAATGACATTTTGTACTCGCAAACGATACAAATTCGAAATTTGTTCGTGCTAAGGGTACTGATTATACCAATATATGATTGATTCTTCTTGAAATAAAATACCCTTATAATAGCTATAGTCTATTCACATTGGCGTGAGACAAAATGTAAACTTTTTTTTTGCTAACTTCTTGTATTTCTATGATTTTATTTATTTTTTAAGCATTTAACTGCTAGATGTTTAAATCTAAAGAAAAGTTTAGTAGAAAAAAAATCCACGCGGACCAGGCAGCGGACGGGACTCAAACCCGCATCCTTCGCTATCCGGGCGAATGCACTGACCATTATGCTACCACGACCCTATTAGCCGCGTCGTAATTTTCCTAGCCTTAAGCTGCAAGGCAGCGCCATCTCTTCGCATTGTAGGTAACCCAAATTGTCAAATGAATACTTTTTCAAGTATTAAACATTTGAAATAAGAAATAGCAATTATAGTTATGATTTTATTTATTTTTTAAGCATTTAACTGCTAGATGTTTAAATCTAAAGAAAAGTTTACTAGAAAAAAAATCCACGCGGACCAGGCAGCGGACGGGACTCGAACCCGCATCCTTCGCTATCCGGGCGAATGCACTGACCATTTCTTGTATTTCCTTGTTTTATTTGTGTTTGTTGTTATTTTTTTACTGCTAAGTTTGAAGTTGTTAATAAATTATAGGATACATAAATTATACCTATTCATTGACTAGTAAGTACTTTCTGACATTATAAAAGTTTTAGAACCTCAGATTCTTTGTTTACATTTTGTCTCACGCCAAAGTGAATAGACTGTAGTAATATAATGAAATATGAACAGAATAATTTTCACTCCAATAGTAACCTATTAAATAGAATATATTCGATGTTTCGGCAACAAAAAAAAATATAAATAAACTTGTTATTTGCCAATTAATAATTATTATATAATTTTATGTTATAATAATTATTAAAAAAAACGGAGATAAAATATATTCTAGTTTTTTGTCAAAAAGTGCACTACATCTCATAAAAATTTGGAGCTGGAGACTCACTTCCATAGTTCCATCCTCCATACAAATTGGAATCGTGTCCTGTGCTTCATTTACTAATGTCCAATGTATTTTTGATGAGATGAATACATATACTAGCACTTCACATGGCCACTCGTATTTGCTATTTGTCATTTTGGGAGCAGGTTGTCCATAACATATTTTAAGGGGAATGAAAAAGACGAATTGTTGTCTAGTTTACAAAATGGCAAATACAAATAGTTACGTCAATCAAGTACCAGCGTAAGATGAAAATCACATAGAAATATGTAATCCGCAAAAAAATGTAGTCTCTCGAGTTTTAAAATAAAAAAGCCTTTTTCTCATAATCATCTCGGAGCTCCTGACTGCATTCTTCACTAGTACGGCAGAGCTTTACCGCCGCGACGGGTGCGTTTAAAAACCGCTCCGTGAGTTCTTAGCCCTAGACAACTGAAGTCAATACACGTACCTACTTAGATTGTTCTATAAACGAAAAGATGCTAAGAATAAAGGACAATATAAAAAAAATGGGTTTGAATATATAATATAAATATTTATAAACTTAATGTTGATTTAATTTTGAGTTTCTTTTGTCACTTATTTAATTCTTGACACTAAGCATAGTTTGAACAAAAGCTCTTGTGCTAGAAAGAGAGCCTCTCTTATATTAACACACATATTATTATGTTGTTTATTGATTTGAAATTCACATTTCAGTAAAAACATGTTTATGTGCAAATTGTTTCATTTAACTTTGAAAGCATAATGTAATTGTAACCTATTGAAAAAATTGTTGTTATTGTTTATTTTATGAACGTTAAAGCTCTGAGAAATTATATTTTCTAGGTGCTCGAATAGAAAAAACGATTTATTTAATAGCAATGGTGCATATACAAGTTTTACTTAGTTTTGCTAGTACCTATATAGGAAAATATTTTCCATTCAAACTTTTACGATCTCCTGCACCTCCTTCAAGTTGAATTTTTGCAACAAAAAGTAGCTTATATCTATTGATAAATTGATCAAAATCGGTTTACTGGTTTAGGCATGAAAACGTAAAAACTCACACACATTCCTATTTGTATTATTACTACGAATGTGCTAAAAACATACGTATAGATTCACATCATCATCTTCATCCTCATCAGCCTATTAATGTCCCTACTGCTGAGGCACAGGCCTTCTCTATGGATGGAATAGGGAGATTGGGCCATGATCCACCACGCGGGCCCAGTGCGGATTGTTGGGTGCTAACATCAATATACATCGTAAACTAAAATTTAGCTAAAACAATTTGGTGCACCCGGAGACAAGCGTTCACCGTCTAACTTTATTGTTATTCTGTATCTAATGGAGCGATTTGCATCGATTTTAGCTTACAGCGTAATCCACAGAACTGCTCAACTGGAACAGTGAATAGCGTTTATAGGTAATCATCATAAAATGGGACGTAGAATACTGAAATGTCACTCATTATTTTACAGATCTATGCATAATAGACAAATGCCACTCAAAATTTAGCATTTGAGGTTCACTCAGTAAAGTATTTATTGAGATAAGAGACAGTACACAAAGGGTTTTGCTTTAGGTAATTACTAAACCTCCATTATTCGTCAGTCACTCAGCTGCTGTACCTGGTGAAGTTTGCTTGTGATAGACAGACAAGACAGTTAAAGTTGCGTACCGTACCCCGTGTAAAAGTCCCTAAATTAAATAAAGAAAAAACCTATATTGCAATCAATTCAATTAAAAAGTACCTAGGTCCCTGTGAAAGATACTAACTTATGGCGATTCTTAAATATTTTTTTCTCAATGAATGTTAATTCATTGGTACGAAACCTTTCATGTTTGAGGCCAATTCACTTTTTTATAGTCTACGTCAGTTGTCAACCATCTCACCACAGCTTATGAAATAAGTTCTGATCCTTTTATGCTTACTTTGGCGGCTTGAATTTTAATCTCATATGCCGTAAAGAGAATATTAAACAGTGGTTTTAATATGATTGATACCCAAGACGGAAGCTTGAAAATGTATTAAGCGCTGAAAATAGTGTTCAAAAATGTCACTATAGTTTTGTATTAGAAGGCCCATAAATTAATTCTTGTTTACCTTCAATTTAAAATTTATTTATTGGTTGCTTTAGTAGACAAAACTTTTACTGTGTTAGGAGCAGTGTTTCTCGAAAGGACTTGAATGTGACAAGTGACATTGATACGTTTTCTTTACTACTAAACAAAGGAGAACTCGTTTTGTGAATTTATATTGTAAGCACAGAAAAAGAAATTGACATTCAGAAATAGCTGTATCACTTGTGGAGATAGAAGAGAGAAGTTCATGTGATATGCAGTGAATGGCACTTTGGTCTGTGATTTTGGAACTCAAGGCAGTTTCACAGAGGCTTGTCGTTACTTGTTGTAATTTTGTTGAGCTTCCTGGCCTTTACTGTCTGCATTTGCAGTTGACAGCTGGTGATATCGCTTGTTACATTTTGGCTCATTCTGTCTAAAGAAAAGGCATGTATTGTTTAATAACAAGTTAAAGTTAAAGTTAAAGTTAAAGAATCATTAAGAGATAAGTTTAAAGAATTTGGAATAATGACGGTCGCATCACAATACATATACGAAAATTTATTACTTGTAAGAAAAAATATTAATTTGTTTCTTAAAAACAGTGATGTTCACACAATTAATACAAGAAACAAAAATAAACTAACTTTACCTGCTACTAGGCTTCACAAAATTAATAATTCATTTAAAGGTCTTTGTGTTCGCTTATACAATAAAGTCCCAAGCAATATCCAAGAGTTAGCCATAAATAAATTTAAAGATATTATAAAAAAAACACTTATTAAAAAAGCTTATTACAAAGTGTCTGATTATATTACAGACAAAAATGCTTGGGTTTGAACTGTTCCAATCATTCCAACAGGTTTTCTATATTAAATAAATCATAATTGTATTGACGTTGTAACAACATAATGAATTGTAAATGTTGTTACATTAGACTTTTATGTTGTGGAGTTTTTTTCGCTCGTTTTTCTCCGCATCTAAAAAATATGTCCATAACGAGTGGTAGGGAAAAAAATTTTTGGACGATTCAAAAGAGTTGTACTATACATCCAATTTGAATAAAGATATATTGATTTCTGATTTCTGATTTCTGAATATGTATATATACTTACATATGTACAGTATATGAATGCTATCCGTGATCCTAGCATCCCATAACACAAACCTTATAGTGCTTACTTTTGGGGCTAGGCTAGTTGGTGTGAGTGTTGGAAATATTTATATATTGTCAACAAAGTATGAGCATGTCAACGCGGCTTAAACCACGACAGATATGGATTTTCATACAACATACATTTTCATTAAATATTTCAATGATATGCTTTGCTCGAAAGTTTTATGATCCTTTTGTATAGATTATAAAGAAGAGAATAAGTCCAGTGCCAAACTAACTGTTCTCGTGAACAATCCCGAAAAACTCGCGAAAGCTCGCGCGTCTATAATTTTTCAGAGTATTTTCCTTAAAGTTATAATGGCGTAGGATTTCTGAGCGATTGAAAATAGTTTGCAGAACTCTTATCAATCGTCTCGGTATAAGTTGCTGCTGCTATAAATGTTACTCGCTTTTTTCGTGTTTTTTAAATGGTACAAAGTATTCGAAGAAAATAATTATATGTACTCATGTTAATAATAACAATGTTATCTTAATACATATATTATTTATTTATTTTATTTATTTATCACCAACAAGTTTCAACAGCGTTTTACACGATATACTCTAATATAATTTTTTAAACGGTACTCTAGCCAATTACAGAAAATAACTTTGTATTTAATTCAATAATTAAAACGATTACATAGGGTAGAAATTACAAATTAACAATAATATAAATATATACCAACAAAGATTCAAATTCATTTTGCGATAAATATATAAAACAAAAGTATAAATGGAGCATAACAACTAAATTTTTGTAAATGAGTGTGTACGTGTGTGTCACTAAGTCTAATAATCCGGTTAACTAAATATCATACAGAAATATCGAGTCCCGCATGCAACGCCTGTCACTAAGCGGTATAAGATCGAATCTAATACATGAATCTCTGTATTCACAAACTCCCTTATTTACTTTAAACCTAAAGAATATTGTGAATTTTATTTGCAACTATTCAATAGCGTGGACGAATGTTGTGTATTTCGAATTCCAGATACTAGACCCATATTCAAAGATATTCCGAACATATGCGTAATGTTAACAAGGAAATAAGCGATGTAACTTGCCTTAAAGCAAGTAACATCGCTTATTTCCTTTGTTACTCTGGAAATAAGTCATAAGTTTTTATGAGCTTTATTTATAATGTGCTCATAATATTTTTCGTGTGTCAATTTTGTGTCCAGATATAACCCTGAATCCTTGATTGTGGTTGCCCTGCTTAAGTTAGTATTATTTAATTTAAAATTGTATTCTATAGCATTTTTGCGTCTTGTAAATTACATATGTACGCACTTTCTCCCATTAACCGTAATTCTAAGTCGATCTAAAGTCGATCCACTCTTCTTGTAGTTGTAGACAATCTTCATTTGATTTGACTTTCATATATATTTTGGTGTCATCTGCATAAAGCAAAAATTTAGCACGATTAAAGCAGGACCCAGTGTCGCTTAGATAAGCTAAATAAAACTATCATAATTATTATTAAATTTATTTTTAGTATTTTTGGTATATTCTATTTTAAGTATGTGTCTACTTTTGTCACGTACATAATTAAACTGTGTGAATTTCATTATTTTTAGGCCGTAAAAAGTATAAAAAGACGTAAAGTTAACTGTTTATTTGCAAGACGAAAACTCTTGCTAGATTAGAACAATAAAGTCTCTATTACTTGTATATATAAAGACGCTATATTTTTATATATTTTTTATTTTTCAACTCGTTTGGCTTTCGCATATCACCTTTTAAGGCGTTGGCTGAAAATTAGCGCTGCTTTAGAATTGCTAAAGCATCTACCGCAGCAGTATAGCTGGGACAGCGACCTGTTGACCGTGCATCGCACACTATTAGTAGTTATCATATTATATTTGTACCGTCTTATGTTTTATTTTATATACCTACGTTCTGTTTTCTGATTTTATAATGCAACTGAAAGGTCACTAAATATTTTTCTTTCTTTCTTTCGTCTTTTACCCTAGTAGTAGTAGTAGGGAAAGTCTGAGTAACCCGCCTGCCTACCACCAGGCGGATCGTACGCTTGCTTGACAACCTGTTTTTCATAAAACAATTATTTAATGGTGCATTTTTACTTCCAATGAGAATTCTCAGAATAAAACGAATGCTCCCTCTATCAAGCTTACGCAGTGAATGCCTCACGTAAAAGTTGTCGATTCTAACTTTTCCACCAATTCCGACGTGGTTATAATAGGAAAGGGTTTTAGCAGTTTGCCCATGGATTTTTGGGAAAAGACTCATTTCGGGCAAATAAATTTGGCAATAACGTTAAAGTGCTTTCTATCCGACACGTAAAAGTGAAAGCTGAAGACGAATTTCAATGAAGCCTACGTGTCGTCGAATATAGAATAAGTATTCTTATTGAAGCTTGCATATAATTTGATTTGTATGAACAAAGTTGCGCAAACTAGGGATGATCGCTTATTCTATCGCGTTTAATTAAGACCACGCTTAATGATCAGGTTGTATCTAAAACAGCAACTAAAACAGTTTTATGCTCACTTTCACATATTTGTAGATGACGTCAGTTTCGTAAAAGATGTAGCTGTGCAGGATGCCGTAGACTCCCACGCTGAGGGCAGTGTCGGTGCCGCTTGTTGTTCCAATTAGCTGCACCCAGTTGCGCGTGCAGTCTGCGTCGGCGCTGATGCGAGCCACCGAAGGCAGCACGACGGCTCCAGACATTGACGCGTAAACTGTACCCAGAAGTAAACCTGACAGACAAAAATAGAACAAGTGACGATTCGTTTCTGATTTAAGTCGCAATTACACTTATAGTACAGTCAATCTGTAGGTTGAGTGGTGAAAAAAATCCTAAAGGGTCTCGTTTTTTCTGTCTTGTTTTTTCTGTTGCCAAATGACGTTAGGTAGCCACCTTGGCGATGGGCATGTTCAACTCGTAGGCGTTTTTTGAAAAACTCAAAAAAACCCTCAATAATTTTTTGAAACGCATTATGCTTGTTTTGTATGCATTTTAGAAACATTTTTTTCGACCATAATTGTAGAGGGCGTTGAGTACTACAATTTATGTCAGTGATGCAATCTCGTACAACAAAAAATGCGCATTGTAGGTAGCGCTAAAGTCTCAAAAAAAGTGTTTTTTCACTTTTTCACCCTGAAAATATCATTTTAATGGAAAACTTTAAATGGAAAAGTTGTTCCGTACATTTACCAACAACTTTTGTATAAACAATTTTTTTGTATTACTTACTGTTTTCAAGTTATAAATTGCGCAGGTATGAAAAATCCAATAGAGCGGTTTTGGGCAGTTCAAGTACACATTTGCAGTGCACATTTCAATGTACGTTTTACTATTTTTTGTTCATGATTGTAATAATTTACTAATGTACTTTGTGAATAGAGCAGATGGCCGAATTGGCCCACTGTGTTGGCACTCAATGTGTTGTATACGTAGCGCTGTACTGCACTGTAACATGAAAACTGTAAGTAATACAAAAAAAATGTTTATACAAAAGTTGTTGGTAATAATGCACAGAACAACTTTTCCGTTTAAAGTTTTCCATTAAAATGATAGTTTCAGCGTGAAAAAGTGAAAAAACACTTTTTTGAGACTTTAGTGACACCTACAATGCGCATTTTTTGTTGTACGAGATTGCAATAATGACATAAATTGTAGTACTCAACGCCCTCTACAATTATGGTCGAAAAAAAAGTTTCTAAAATGCATACAAAACAAGAAAAATGCGTTTCATAAAACTTCTGAGGGTTTTTTTGAGTTTTTCAAAAAACGCCTACGAGTTGAACATGCCCATCGCCAAGGTGGCTACCTAACGTCATTTGGCAACAGAAAAAACAAGACTTACCCTTTAGGTTTTTTTTTCACTGAAACGATTTTTTTTTCGACAGATTGACTGTACTATTAATCGTTGGCCCATATACGATTGCCTATGGAATTTAGACAAACGACCAAGTGGAAATAAACGGATTCGAATTAGTACGCCCGTATTCGTTTTAGTTCCCCCCAATCTGGCATCACCAAGGTACGTACCAGCTAAAACGAGTGCAGGCTCGTTTGCTCGTGTTCCAGTACCCGAACGTGAATGTAACAATCTAATTATTATTTCTTCGGGTGCCCGAAATCGAGTAATGTAGTTTTTTTTATGTTATAGGTGGCATACGAGCAGACGGCTCACCTGATGGTAAGTGATCACCGTCGCCTATGGACACTTGCAACACCAGGACTATCACAAATGCGATGCTGGCCTTTAAGGAAGGAGTACGCTCTTTTTTTGAAGGTTTTTGGGTCGTATTGGTCCGGAAACACTGCTGGCGACAACATATTCCACAGTTTTGTCGTACGTGGTAAAAAATTTCGACAAAAACGCACGGTTGTGGATAGCCACGCATCAAGATGATGGGGATGAAATTTTTGTCGCGATGTACGATGGCGAAATGCAGCAGCTGGAATTAATCCGAACAATTCCTCAGAACACTCCCCGTGATAAATGCGATAGAAGATGTAGAGCGAAGCTACATCCCTACGCAAAGCCAAAGGATCAAGTTGATCGGAAAGGTCCTGGTCGTCGACGATTCGAGCCGTTCGGCGCTGGATACGATCCAAATGGAGAAGCTGGTACTGGGGTGCCCCCGCCCAAAGATGAGAGCAGTACTCCATGTGAGGCTGAACCTGTGCATAAAGCTGCAGTCGGTGGACCGGTGTGAAGTACATTCTCGATCTATTGAGCACACCGAGCTTCTTAGAGGCCAATTTGGCCTTGCCCTCTAAAAGATCCCGAAACTGGACGTCGCTCGATATGTCAACGCCAAGAATTGCAATACTAGCTGAGGCAGTTAGAGGAGTGTTCTCAAAAAGAGGAGATACGACAAATGGTATTTTTTTGCGGTGAACGCGCGTACTTGTGTCTTCGTAGGATTAAATTGGACTAGATTAAGTCGGCCCAAATTTGTTACTCGGTTTAACAAAGTTTTTGATTGATCCTTATTGAATATGCCACCGAAAGCAGCACGACGGCACTCGACGTCAACGCGTAGACTGTGTACCCAGAAGGAAACCTTATGTAACGAATTATATATGAAAATAATGGTTTTTAATGACCTTTTTTTACTCATAATGATTTTTTAGGAATAAGCAGTTTTATGTCTGAAATTTAAAATGTTTAGGGTCTGAAATCTGTTTTTATAATTTCAATAACGACTTAACTAAATATAAAGATTTTGATCAACAAAGTAATATGAACAGCAACATAAGTCAAGTGAAAAATTAGTGAAATATTTGTAATTTGACCCTGCTGCAATTAAATTTATGATGTTGGAACTTTGGAATGGTTTTCAGATACAAATAACGATACGGCGAAAATTGGGCTAATCCGATAAAAGAACTTAATTATGATAGACTCCAGAATAAAATGATTTGTTTTACAACTAATATAAAATTTAGAATAAATCAAAGTAACGTTATGCGGTCACGTCTTTCTCGAAATTATTGCATGCAAAATGCGAAGTTTTCAAGTTCCGCACGAAGTTGCGCGTGGAGTTTTCAAATTGCGACAGTGGCTGCGGCAGCAGAAGCGGCTGCGAACTTCTCTCCCTACGCCATACGAAATCGTTAAACAGTAATGCCCATCTAGCACGCACAACCAGTTGGCACGGTTCCAAAGGTCTCGAGTTTGTGCCCTACTGTTAGGAGCGCAAACATTTGTTTTGTAGTCATGGTAAAATAAGTGTATCTCCCATGCTTTAAAATCTCTATTAAAGATTCTAAAACGGTAAACTTATTGCCAACACTAAAACATCCAATGTCACAATTAAAAAAAAACATTATAACACCCGTTTGATATTTTAATGTTTTATTAAAATGTATTTTATAATAACACTCTCTCGCTTTTTAAATCCTTTCCGAGTCAAGGGCTTATTTATCAGACAGCCACGATTTTCACTGCTCGATGCGTGGTATTATGAATTTCAAAAAAGAACATTGTCATATACGCGCTTATACTACCACAGCGCCGAAACTATTCATGGATTTAGGTTCTTAGAACTCGAACACCCCATACTTTCAGATCTTTTATAGATGATTTATGTCATGGGTGTAGATAGAGTCTTGTATGCAGCTGTTATAATTAGGTATTAAAACACTTATGCTCTAATACCCCTCATTGTACAACAATTGCAGAAATAACTACTAATACATGCATGACAATATGTATGTCCTAATCTTTCTCTATTAAATCAATACTAAATTTATAGAGGTAAAGGTCGTAAGTTTGATTGAATTAAGAAATCCCAGGAACTATCTACTGAATTGATTTTGACAATTCCTGCCTTATTAGATAGCTAAATTATTCTATAGTTTATTTGATTGCGTTCAAATAAATTTCAGCCATCTAAAGCAGTAATAGTTTAGTCATTAATAAGTGAGTTCCGTTTGTACATTTTTGTTAAGGTTTCAAATATAAAACAGCTATTTGAGACATAGAGCAACACGGAAGGAAGTAGCCATACCGACTAATTAACTACTATTCAAATAATTCTGCCATTTTTGCAGGAGGGAATATATACACAGACGCAGTTTAACGTGCAACCGTAAAGAAAAGCTTTAATTACGATGCTCACACATAAACAATGATACAATACACCGCCCAATGCTGCAGTGCTATTCTGTAAAATTTTCACTGGATTGATATCGGGACCGCGCGGATCCACATCGGATTCGCGCGTGAAAATTTTATAGAGTAGCACTACTGCACACATTTGTATGCGCAATTCGACAGAGGGGAAAGCTGTGTATGAGTACTCCCCTCCTGGCCGCGTCGGCGTGTTGCTCTATGATTTGAGAAGGTCATAACAGAATTACCTACTTTCAGTTCTGTAAAACTGAAACCATCAGTGTATTAGCTTTATAAACTGAATGCGAGGCACTACGTTTCAATTAGGGTCTCGTTTTAATTAAACTTTCGCCAGGACAAAGTAGAATCAACGAGAAAAAGTGAATCTGCGCAAAACAAAACTGGTAGTTGAAAAGTTTGCGAGCTGACGCTTTGTTCGTATAAATTGAACTGTGATCGCCAAAACAATGCTATTCGAAATAAAATGTTCACGTAAATGCAAAAATTAACTAAGTACCCGAAAATATAACAATATTTTAATGGTTAAGCCCTTTATCAAACAGTGTTATCATAATATAATTTAAGTAGTTTAGTACCAAAACTTGGTTTGTTGGGTCTATCATTTTCCGAAATAAAAGTAACAAGAGATCAAACTGTAGGCGATTGTGTAAAATAAAATTCTTCTATTAAGTTCGATCCTTCCTAAGATTAGTTAAATATTCATGACATTGTTACACGCCAAAAATTTGCAATAACTTTTGAAGCATCCAGTAAACGAATATGATAATTATTTCAAGAATTACTAACATTTTACGTAGGATGTCATATGCAAAACGATATTCGTTATTCATGTAACCTTATCGACGTGCTGCTTATATTAGAATATAATTTGTAACTATTGTAATAAAAAGTAAAAAAAATTTTTTTTTAAAACTTGTTTTTTTTAAACGCACCGAAAAAAATAAAATAAAATTTTACTTTCAAACTTTCACTATCAACTTATAACTTCATTATACAATTTTAAAATAACATAAAAGCTTGTCGCCTGATTAAAGTAGGTATACTTAGCTACAGTTTACAAAATGGAAACTAAAACCAATTTTGTTTATCTATACAGGTAAATCTCGCGACAAGCTTTTATATATTATATAAATTGTGTAAATGAGTTAATAGTAAAAGTTTTAAAAGATAAATTATATTTTATTCTTTTTAGTGCATTCAAATAAAATCTTGTTTTAAAAAAAAGTTATTTTGGTAGTTGGTTATTTATATTTATTAAATGTTGGTGTCGTAAGCTGCTTTCAAAACAGGAAGATACAATAGAAAGGTACTTTCGTCCTGCTAGAATAACATGGAACGACCTTTGATTAGTGCCTGAAATAATTTATTACATAAGTATAATGTTGTTTTGAGGTTTAGTCTAAATAATGTTTCTATTCTTTAAAAAGGATCTATTTTTATGAAGTCACAATTTTTTTAACAGGGAATCTGACTTTGAAGTCTTATATTTAAATATTCAATAAATACAAATTCCGTGACGTTGAAACGTTGAATTCCAAATTTCGATAGCTTTTGTAGCGACGTCACACATCGGAAGTGCATTCAAATATTTTACACTGCGAATACCGCGGTAGAATTTATTGAATTGCTTTTGTATCGCACGTGGCGAGCTCCATTGTGTTTTTATCCATAAGAGGTGAATTTTATTCCATTCGGATTATTGGAGCTAAGACCTGCATTCAGTACAACATTGGTGTTGGCTGTCAGCAGTTTTATTAAGTAAAACTAGTTTTTACGGGTTAATGCACGAAACTTTATTTATTTATTGACGTTTCGCAGCCTTTTCAGGTCTGCATCGTCAGAATAATGATTTTATTTAAAATTGTCGAGCTACCTTCGAAAGAATTATATTGTGCGTTCGGTTATTTCATTGAAGATTTTTAATTTTTTTTATTGTCTATGTATGAATTTATTATTTAATTTACTTAATAAAGTATTTTATTTAAAATTCTTGTTTGTAATTTTGAGTTTATTTATTTGACCCTAACTACCGTAAACTACCACCGGTTCCAAAATTGGGAGACCTTCCTGAGAAGAACCGGCGAAACAAACTCAAGAGAGGCTTTCTATCTCCTTCTTATGTTAAATTATGCAAACAAAAAGAACTAATAGTATCTGATGGTCTTGCAGTGTGTGTGTAAAAACTAGTTTTATTTAATGAGTGATGTGCGTGAAAACCTAAGAAACAAATAGTTTTATTAAGTTGTCATTTTTGCACTGCTTTTAGCTAGCTTTAATTTTTTGGATGCAGCAGCTATTTTATCTAATTCGACTTTGAAAATCGATAATAAATCGATGTGTCCTGAACTTTTTCATGTCGTGCCATTCTCTCCGGTGTTATAATAATAAACTACATAAGATAAAGTGGGAATGTTGACATAATGACATTAAATTGAAATTAAATTTGAATAGTACAGGCGTTGACCTTTTTTAGTATATCGGCAGGTAAAAAGTGCATCCGTTGCAAATCCACACAAAGAAAAATAGTTTTGATATCTTAGACCAAGAAGTTTCGAAGGAAAACTCACCAAAGTTGTTGTTACAATTTTCATAAAGTAGGAATCTACCCCCCTTATTAATAAACAAAGAATATGCTTATTTTAGATCAGTTACGCCGTGTTTTGTTCATGTCACTCATATGCCATTTCTCATTCAGTGAACAGTACCCTTAGCACGAACAAAAATCGATTCGATTGTAACGTTTGCGTATCCGAAATGTCACTGTCAAATCTACTGATTTTTAGTTTTCGTGACGTACTTTGTGCCGCTGCTGTTCAAGTTTCCATACAAAATTTGACATTGATATTTCGGTTTGCAAACTATTCGAATTCGATAATGGTTCGTGCTAGGGGTACAGATATCAGAGTGAGGGTATAATTACACAATTTTTATCGCTTACTTCTTACAACCCACTCTTAATTCAATCAAGAGGCACACCCAACTTGGAGGCTAGAGCCAAAAGAGTAATTTGCTAGGAACTTTTATTTTATAACTTAGATTAAACAGCTTATTTAAAAAAAAAACTTAAGATTCACTAAATTTTTTGTCTCAAACTAAGCGAGGTTTACACGGCACTAATAGGTCTTTCGATATATTTAAATTAACAACACAAAAATATTACAGTTATTTTCGTTGAAGCGCACTTTTGAATCCCAGTTTAATATTTTTGGCATTGGATCCCACAACACATTATTATGTTTTTCCGTAAGATCCTAAATTTTACAATGATATAGGTACATATAAATAAATATCATTATTGTATCAAATAAGTTAATAAACACCTTACCCCAAATCACAGGGAAGCCAAGGTAGAAGTGAACACTAAAAGCCAACACTACTACCTCTGCCACCCAAGGTAGTGTTCCAAGAGTCGCGAGTCTCCACCAGTTGTTCTTCATGAACTGCAAGTCCCACCCTAGGGACCCCTTCCCAAGAATTATAACAGGGTATATTTTTCTGCAAAAAAGAATGATATAAATTAAATGAAAATGTAAATAAAAAGAAAATGAAAATGAATTTTTAAATGAATAACATTTGATGCATTGAATAATAGATTAGTGAGTAAGAAAACTTCTTCGAAGTCGAATACATCATTTATTCTTATCTCATATTTTTTTGACGTGATAACGTCTAATAAATCGATGAACACCGGCTGCACGCACGAAAAAGTGTGACGACATGTTACGTCGTCACGAGATAGTTCATCGTTCCACGGTGTTTGTGAGGTGAGTTTAAGGGGTTCCTTCGACTGGGGGGTCATCGGGAGGGGTCCTTTTCGTCCCTGACCCGCCTGAACTAACTTGACCACACTGACCACCCTGCCACCCTGATCCTGACCCCCTCCCTCCCCCTCGAACAGTACCTCACCCCCGCGGAACCTAACTCGGGCTCCCATAAGGCTACAGAGGTGTGCTTGGGCTCAAACGAACCGGAACAAAATACCACACAAAAGTGCTCTGAGTTTTTTTTTATAAACCGATTTTATAAACAACCATCGACTAAAACTTTAACATGACAAATATACAGGGTGAAATTGAATGTTTCTATGAAACTTCGTGAGATTGATGGGTTACATGTATAGAGTATGCCTGATTTTTTTCGGATTTTTTAAAATAATTTTTTTCGTTTTTTAATTTTTTATTTGGTTATTTTTTTGTCATTTCTTCCTTATGAGTAATTATTCATTTTAAACACGTCTACATAGAAGTTATAAAGCAACTTAAAATAAGCACTACTAAAAAAACGGAAACTTAATGAATGCCTTCATTATGCCTCCAGTCGAGATCAGCGCCGGTCGGGGCGACGACCGGCGGCCGCCTGTAGGTACCTAACTACACGCACAGATGACTCGGCGCTTACCTACTCGCTTTGATCCACACTATTTAAAAACAATACAATAAAATAGTCTTAGATGCTATATTATAATTATTTATTCACTGATACACAATACCTTTGAATATTATTTCATAAAGCACAGGTAATTAATCAATAAAATAAATCTTCTTAAAATTAAATCGGTATAACTTACGAGCTTAGTGAAGGAAGGAACTCTTCGTGTCTGATTTGCCCACGTCATGAAATTCCGAACACATTTAATCACAGCCACAGTCACACATACACACACACACACATAATAATATGTTGTTTTGCGGCAAGCACGGGCGGGCGGCGCGCCGCACGCTGGCAACTAGCGCCGGTTGCGGCGTCTTTGATGATGTGAATTCCGCCCACCTCCCCTCTTCCCCGCACGCGGACGTTTGCTTTGATTGCATGCAAAACGCAGTCGCAAGTATATCAATCGCGCGTGAGCGTGCGCATCTTTTGACTTGGTGACATACACTGTGATAATTTCATTATGCCTCGGTATACAAACCAAGAATATTTAGAGATGGTGTACTGCTATCGCGAGTGTGACGAAGTAGGTTTGGTTTACGAATGAGTCCCTAAACCATAGAAGTTGCATTTTGTGCAGTGAGTAGTGATAGGGACACTTTAAAAAAGGTGAAAAGACACGTCCGCAAACAGGCAACCTTTGTTTGCAGCAAAATGGTGGTTTAGAGCAACAATTTTGCAGATAATAATTTAAGTCTCTTTTTATTGCTAGTGTAAATACTTTTTGATTAGAAACAACTAATTGTGTACTACCAGTGTGATTGATTTGATAAAAAGTTCTAGTGAAAAAAATGAATATGTTCCTCGTTCCTCGTTGTACCTACCTAAATCGCCGGTCTCGTAAGTACTTTTGAATACCTGGTTATAAATTTCATTTTTGGGGTATTAAGCAATAAGTATTTCTTTTTGTTTAACATTTGCCTATTTCCAATCGTGACAAAATTATTATTAACTTTTAAAGTTTTTCACTGCTTAAGAAAAGATGACATTTGTGCTTATTATTTCAATTTCAATAAAGGCATCTAAGACGATTTTATTGTACCTATTGTGTGGAATCAAACGAGTCAGTTGAGCTCTGTGTAGAGTTAGGTACTCAACGGCTGGCGGGCGCGGTCGGTCGTTGACCCGCGGTGGAATTTCAATGTTTTTCCGTTTTTTAGAAGTGCTTATTTATTAGTTGTTTTTCACTGGATATGTAAGTTTGTTTGTTTAAAATGAATAACTACTCAAAACGAGGAAAGGACATAAAAATACACAAATTATAAATAAATACATGAAAAAAATATACTTCAAAAAATCCGAAAAAAGACAGGCATACTCTGTACACATAACCCAACAATCTCACGAAGTTTCATAGAAACATTCAATTTCACCCTATATAAGTAATGCTGAAAGAATGATAAAAAGAAATAGTAAACACTTTTGGTCTTTTGTTAAGTCAAAAAAAGCTACTTCTGATAGTCAGGAATATCGTATAGGCATACTTTTTTAATAATCAGTTTTCAAGCAATAGGGAGCAGATTTGCTCTATGTTTAATGATTACTTTTGCACCGCCTTTGAACCTCGTTTGGATATTTCCTCACAATTGACTGGGACGACTAATTTAGGTGTTATTTCCATAGGATCTGTTGATATTAATGTATCATTAATTCAGAGACATCTCAAGAGCCTTAACATTGTGAAAGGTTGTGGCCCAGATGGTATTCCTCCATTTTTCTTAAAAATGTGCCATAAAGCTTTAGCACTATCGTTGTACCTTTTGTTTAAGCTTTCTTTGGAAACCGGAAAATGCCTTTGATTTGGAAGCAGTGCCATGTTGTCCCTGTATTTAAAACTGGCGATAAGCACAATATTCAAAATTACAGGCCTATTTCTAAAATTAGTGTCATACCTAAGCTATTTGAAAAAATTGTGTATGACTCAATTTTTCCATTTTTACGGCATGTAATTGTCAATGAACAACATGGTTTTATAAATAAGAGATCCACCGAAACCAATTTATGCGAGTTTGTGCATCGTGTCACCATGGATATGGATAAGGGTAGTCAGGTGGATGTGGTGTATACTGACTACTCCAAGGCCTTCGACAAAATTCAGCACCCTATTTTAATGCAGAGGATTAGTGAGGCTGGTATACATGGTGACCTTTTACGGTGGATAGAATCTTACCTCAGAGACCGTAGTCAGGCAGTTACTGTAAAGGGGCACTGTTCAACTTTGGTCCCGGTCACATCAGGTGTGCCACAGGGATCCCATCTCGGTCCTCTCTTTTTTAATTTGTTCATTAATAATGTAGTTTCAATTCTTAAATATTCTAATATCTTAATATAAATCAGCATAAGCTGATGATATGAAGATCTTTAGAAAAGTCACATCTCCCCAGGATGCTGCTTTGCTCCAGAGTGATCTTGACAGTCTTTGCAATTACTGTCATAAGAATTGCCTCCATTTTAATCCGAATAAATGTAGTGTTATCACCTTTACTCGTAAAATTAAAGCAATAAAATTAAATTACAATCTCAATGGTAAGAGGATAAACAGAGTAACAGTAATCAAAGATTTGGGTGTGACCCTTGATAGCAAACTGACGTTTGAGACGCATATTAATGATACTACAACTAGGGCGTTGCGTATGCTTGGGTTCATAATTAGAATAGGAAAAGACTTTAAGCACTTTTCTACATTAAAGCTATTGTTTAACTCCTTTGTCCGTTCTATTTTAGAATATGCGTCCACTGTATGGAACCCACAGTATAAGGTTCATATAAATTCAATAGAGAGAATCAATCATAAATTTTCGAAATATTTAAATTACAGAGCACATCTGTATAACCAACCTGTGATAATTGTTTCTTCCTTAACGGATCGTCGTGTTGAGAGAGATCAAGTTTTTCTTTATAAAATTATGAACAATCTCATTGACTCTCCATTCCTTTTGGATAGCATTGGTTTAAGATGCCCTCGGGCAGGCTCCCGTTTAAAAAGTTTATTTAGTTTGCCTATAATTAGCACCAAATATACTGCTAATACTTTCGTGATAAGGTCTTGTACTGATTATAACAATAGGTTCACATCAATCGACATATTTAACTGTTCACTCAAAAATTGTAAAAAATGTATTCACGATATGGTAGATAGTTTATAATTATTAATTGTAACCAACAAAACTTGTTATTTTTTTTGTTTTATTGGTAAAAATATTAACGTCTTTTTTCTTTCTCAATTTTAATTACCTGAGCTCCTTTATATGTTTTATATAATAGTGGAAACTTTATTGATGTATGTTTATTAATTAGATCTAGGTATAAGTATTAATTCATTGTTTGTTTCCCAAATAAAGATAAAATAAAAAATAAAAAACATTAAGCCCACGTGTTTTCCTTCGATCGACAATAAAATAAATACAGTCAAATTAACATTACAAGTGAGTAGATATATAAAAATAAACATTCTACTTTTAATCAAATCAAAAATTGAAGTGGCGTTGTCTTATTCTATTGCTATCGCAAAGATGATGACAGTCAGAGGCGTCTTTAGCCTATGTAGCGCCCGTGTGCAACCATTACCCTAGCGTTCTTCTAGTAAGCGCGTCAAAATTTAATGGTGGCGGGCGACTCTCGGCGCCATAGGTAAAGCCGCCTCCTCTGACGGTAGTTAAAGTTTTTTCATGGTTCTGAAAACGTCAGCTAGCGTGAATTTAAACCTGTATTTAAAATAACAAGAACGTATTAGTAGTAAGCTTCTTACCTCAAAAACGAGTCTACATTTGTATATTGGTTCATATCTAGGAAGCCAATATTCCGCGCTAGTATACCAGTCAGTAAAGCTGCTAACATTGGTGGAAGTGTGGTGAGTGCTTGCAGAGCTTGGCCACTCGCCCATGCTGCGATGGCAACCACTGCAAGCCTGAACCATTGGCCATCCCAGCCCCACTCGTCGCCCAGTGAGCACCATAAAAGTCCCCAAGTTAATAGACCTGTGAGGTGAAATGCAGATCTATGTGTGTTTCAAAATTAATTTTAGAGAACATAAATAAATAAATATTTCTAAGATAACATTTATTTTGGCTGTAACATATTGAATGAGTTTTTTGTACTGGTTGCGTTAATTACAAATACATATGTACCTATGTAATGCTAATGCTAGTAAAGGAAAAAAAAAATGCTATGCATTCCCGTGCACATTAACCTTTTTTATGTTTCAAATATAAAAAAAAACTCTTTACGTTTCAGACTTTTCGTGTTTGATAGTATTATTTTGATAGTATGGTAAGTACGCTTATAATTATAACCGACCGCAATTCAACCAACCAGTACCAGTTAAATCCTAATCACAATATATTGGACATGAGTTTATGTTCGTTATATACAGAGTGTAAAAATCCTGTAACGTAGTCGAAGGCCACGTATTTTCCACATATTTTTATTCTTCTGGACCAAACCTGGGAAATTTATGGTTATGGAGATATTGAAGGTCAAAGTCACGATTTTTTTTTCAAGATTTATACATTGATATTTTCAAAACGTTATTTAGAAATATTTTTTTCGACGCACTTACACACATGCACACACATACACACAGGCACATGCTTTGCGTTGCGCCACAGTAGCGCGCCGCGCTATACATTGCGCACTGGAAAAAAATGTATTTATTGAACTTAAAAATACAAATTATTCCCACATATTATATTTTGTAATATTACTTGTTTGGGTGTACGGAATGCGTAGTTTTAGTCTTTGTCATAGGTTTTTTTTACACCTGTATACTTCCAGACATATCTATCGGCCCACTTAGTGTTATAAGTTTCAACGGTCTGTAGCAAAAATATATGTTTATGGCTGAGCAATTTTTTTAAACACACGAAAAGATGGTAAATATGTCAGCTTTAAAATCAAGTAGGTAATAAAAAAATAAAACAGTTATTTTTAGCTATGGACATTCAAAACCTGAAATTCTAGGTGGGCCGATATATATGTCCGAAAATATATATTGCGATTAGGATTTTACTTTGTAAAGGTTAAGTTCTAGTAAAGTTGATGTTCTAATTCTAGTTAAGTTAATGTTCTAATTAAGTTCTAGTGAAAGATAAAATGGGTCTGATATGCATGACAGTAAAAGTTTCTCTCCTACGCACAATACTTGTAGCTAAAAAAAAGCCTCAAAAGTATCGTACTTAATAAATTATTTGTATTTCAGGTCACTATAGAAAGGGCACTTACTTGACACTTTTCATTTTCACGTACCCTTGGGAGTGCCCGACGAACTTCCGGATACATAAGAAACGTTAGGTATTTTAACGAGACTGTCAAATTACATCAAGGTCGAAGCCGGGTTTTGTGAGCAAGTGTCGTGAAAATGGTTCGTTATTTATTAAAAAAAATAACATTCACGCATTTTTTCATGTTTATAATATACATAGTCAGGTCATAAATTCCGTCACATGTTTAATATAAAATAATTGAAACAAGTTTATTCATTATGTAACCATTTATATACCAAAATGAACTTAACAAAACATAGATTCTTATGACAATAAAGTTTATTCAAAATGACTTCCGTGATTTTGAATACAGGCCTTCAATCTGCGCGGTCAGTCGTCTATCGCAGCACGAACGACGTCCATGTCAATATCGGCGGCTGCCTTAACCAAGGATGTCTTGAGTGACTCCAAATTGGGATGAGGCTTTGAGCACGCCTTTTCCTCCAAGTATTGCCATATCTTGTAATCTAACGGACTCAAATCTGGACTGGCGGAGGGCCAGTCTTCGTGCCGGATGAAGTCGATTTCACACGCCTCCAGCCAGTTTTGTGTGCTCTTCGCTCTATGAGCTGGCGCCGAATCTTGTTGGAATACCCAGTGCCTGTTATTGAACATGGTATGAGAAACAGGTTCCGTCAGGACTGTATTTTGATACACAACTGCATTCGTTTTTACACCATTCTCACAAAAATGTACCTCTGTTAAGCCCCAATAAGAAACTCCCAACCATACCATGAGCGAGGATGGAAAATACGGTTGCTCGCTTCTTCACTACTGTGTGCGTACATTTTATCATTTTGTTTGTTGTAGCTCTCTTCTACGGTAAAAATTTTTTCATCCGAAAAAAGAATTTCCCGATATTTTTTTTTCCCGCGTACCGCTTCAACAAAGCGCGGCATCTTTTCAGTCTCAGGTCCATTAGACGAGCTTTCAAACGATGTCCTGTTTTTCTTCGATATGCTCAAAGCCCTAAGTCTTCATATAACACCCTTTTCACTGTGGTTCTGCTTAACCCCATCTGAAGGGCCAACAGTTTCTGCTTACGTTTGGGATTTCTTTGAATTCGCGCCTTCACAGCTTTTATCACTGCTGGAGTCCTAACAGACCGAGGGTGACCACTTCTTGACCTGTCATCTACACTAGAGTCTTCATTGTATCGTTTGATAAACGAATCTTTTGGCTATATTAAAATTTTTCAGTATGTCAAAAATTTGAATTGGCGCGTAACCGCAACGATGCAACGCAATAACTGCAACACGGTCTTCTTTAAGCGTCCACTCCATATTTAAAAATGAGTAAAATTCCAAAAAGTATACATTTTTATTTTCATGAACAATTCGAAATTCGAATTCAATAAACTTTTTTGTGGCCAGCATTCTAAAAGAAAAATTTTTACTGTGTGACAATACTTATGACCTGACTGTAAATTATTCTCTCAAGAATTTGAATTTACAACTCCTACTAGCGAAAAAGAGAAGAGTTTTTTTTTAGTCAATTTGTATGAATTGTATAATTTTAATATCTAACTTTTTTATGTTTTTATTTATTTTTAAGCATTTAACTGCTAGATGTTTAAATCTAAAGAAAAGTTTACTAGAAAAAAAAATATGGGTTACCTACAATGCGAAGAGATGGAGCTGCCTTGCAGCTTAAGGCTAAGAAAATTTCGACGCAGCTAATAGGGCCGTGGTAGCATAATAGTCAGTGTATTCAGATTGCGAAGGGTGGGGGTTCGGGTCCCATCCGCTGCCTGGTCCGCGTGGATTTTTTTCTAGTAAACTTTTCTTTAGATCTATCTTTTTTACCTACGGCTACCTGATCTTCATTCATAATGTGGATGTTTTTTATTTATTGGATTTATAAGAACAGAGGTAACCTCCTACATCTAAAGACACTTTACCTTTTCAAAATATTAATAATGTTTAATAAGTATAATAATTATGGACTTACCTATAAAAATAAGACTTAAATAGTTATGAATCACAGGTACTGAGTTAGTCCACCACGTTGCTTTTCTTGCATTTTCTATTTTTGTACATTTTTCTCTATTTTCTTTGAACGATGGCGTAAATTCATGAGTTCTGAAATGACGAAAAATTTCTTCAACTTTCAATTGTAAACTAAATAACAATAGCTTGGTTAGGTGACATGGTCTCCAAATAACTATTGTTGTTTGTCTAAACAGAATTTCTAATTATTCACTTAGCCTTCATTAACACTTATGGACTTTCTTACGTTGTACTATTTCCTCCGACTAATATTCTACATGTTTCTAGAAGACCGTGGTTCTCACTCATTATGCCGATACTTGTAATCATCAGATGACAGATTTTTTTAAAGATAAATTAACGATCTTTTTACGGTCTTATCATTACCAATATTTACTTACTCACGTTTTCCCTTCTTTGTTGCGGTAGATGGTAAAAAATCTCTTATCAAAGGCTGCAACTGCTACTTTATCTGTAAACAATTTAAAGATAAGAGTAGAAATTATTTAATATAATCAATTATAAAGGTACCCATTGTTATTCAGTAGTAATACTTGAATATAATTAGATAAACGCTTGTCTGAATACGGATTCATTGAAATCAGAGAGTCAATCATATTCTTTTACAGTTTTCTTGCGCGCCGTCTTGATAAGAATTCCTTTGATTGCTCTACCAATGAAATCCGATTTTAGAGATATAATGGCTTGTTGACAAGGAATGACATCAACGACTCTTTTGTGAAAAAGTAATTTGTGAATTGATTTTATGCTACAACAAGTTATTGCGCAGTTTTTGAGGAGTTTCGGTATTGATTGCCAGACAGCTGGCTTGTTGCGTATGCCAAGTAGAAATCTCTAGAGAAACAAATTAAGCCTTATGCCATTAAACAACGTCAAATTATCATAACAACTTCTTTTTTTAATATCATGTTTTTAAGAATTAAACTGGTATACATATTGTAGTCTGTTTAATCTAGACATTTAAAGGTATATAAATATACATCAAGCTGGAAGTGAGTAAATAAATGGGTATTTCCCTGTTTTTATCAAAACGGTAAGTTTTATCGTAAAATTACCTTAGATGATCATAAAATTATCTATAAAAAGGTATTATTATTATTTTTTCTAAAAATCACCGTTCCTGATATATAACGGTTCAATGTTGTAAGCGTCATAAAATGCACACGTTTTCACGCCATCTCTGCTGTAAGTACTGAGCGTGTTTTTAGGGTTCCGTACCTCGAAAGGAAAAGAACGGAACACTTGTATGATCACTTTGTTGTCCGTCCGGCCGTCCGTCTGTCAAGACCCTTTTTTCAGGAACGCATACAGGTATGAAGCAGAAATTTATATCAAATACTTAGATCTACTGTCCCTTGGAGCTGTGAAAAAATTAAACTTATAAGCCAATGCAATCAAAGGATATAGCCGTTTATGCTACAAATATCCGCAAATTTTCGAAACTCGCAAGGGTATCAAAACCTATAGGCTAACTCAGAATCTTGAAATTTCGTACGAAGCAACGTCTTATAGCACACATAAAGGAAAAATTACGAACACCGTAAATTTTTAGTAACATCACATTTTCTTTAAATCGTTATTATATACCTACAGGTTTGTACAGAATCATCGGTGCGCGTGTCCGACTCGCACTTGGCTGTTTTTTTTAACGTGATTTCCTCAGTAGGCCTAATCCACAGGTCTGTTGTGATTCTGTTAAATTGGAAACTATTGCATAATAACAAATATAAGCGAGGGTTGGATTTGATAAAAGCGATGGAAATTAAAAAAAAAACAGAAGAAAAATGTATTCGTTCGATTCATATTATTTAATTATTTCTTCTTGTTGTTTTTCTTTTTCATCTTCTTCTTCATTCTGGGTGGAAGTGAATTGGGTCAGTAGCGAAAAAAAGGAGGTAATTTTTATTTTGATCATTATTTTTCTTTCTTTCTTGGTAACAAACAAATCCTCCACTGTTGGTGATTCAAACACATAACACAACTGGCTTGACAGTTCGTACATGCCAGAGTCCAACTATTTAGCACACGACATTTAGTACTGCGTCCCTTTTTACAGTTGCAAAAAATTGTTTTTAGCAGATTTTCTGGCACAGGTAGGAGTAAAATCTGAATCGGTTATAAAATGTTGTCGACCAACTTCCAACCCAGTCTTTTGGGTCTAGCTGATACCGGGCCACACTTAAAAAGTGCATACCCGAAAAAGACGTTGATGAGCTGCAACTGAGGTTGGAAGAAAACAAGCTAATTGCACTTGTTTTTTTATTTCGATTGTTTTTAACAAAACATACATAAAGAAAATATAACTAGAAAAAATTCCACGCGGACCAGGCAGCAGACGGGACTCGAACCCGCACCCTTCGCAATCCGGGCGAATGCACTGACCAATTATGCTACCGCGGCCCTTTAGATTTAAACATCAAGCAGTTACATGCTTTAAAAATAATAAAAATTAAAACATACATATCTTTACTTATCTAAGCTGGTAGTTTTCTTAGGAGCTTAGTACTTGCGAATTCTGTTGGTGATAATTCCTTGTGGAATTAAATTACTTTTTTTAAAAACTTCAGCACATTATTCTCATAGTTATACTTATGTAATTATTTAATATTTTCAATGTCAATTACTTTGACTTTCATTAAAGAACATCTTTAGCCGAAAGGTATCGTGTTCCGGCGGTTCCGAGGCCGGCTACCTGACACCACTCCGCATCACACGTCGCCGTCTATACGTGTTAGTTAATTCAGTTTTTTACTAATTTAGGTGTTAAGTTTATTTACTAATACATGTAAGACTATAAGGTATTTATCTATAAGGCCTATGTTGCCTGAAAGTAAAGAAAAAAATATCTTAAAACAGTTTAATCGTGGGGTATGGCTATGGCAATAGTCTAATTTGGTCCAGACGTTTTCATACAAAAGGAGGTTGTAGAATGTCCGTGAAGTCGAGTGTCGAAGGACCGTTGGATGTACAGCAACGCTGTACATTAAGCATCTAGAGGGGTTTTCTGCAAATGCCTAGGAGCGGATTGCCCGCGGAATCATCGTAATGGGATATCTGGTATCATGTGCGGTAAGTCCAACCCAGTTTTTGCGGTATTCATCATCAGCCCATAAATATCTCCACTTTTGAGGAGCCTTTTCTATGGATGGTAAAAGGAGAAAGGACCATGACCCATGAATATGAATTTTCCAACTGTTAAAATCGCGATATATCACGAGTGTAGACTCGAACAAAAAAAAACGCTGAACAATTTTTGTAGAAAATAGTATGATCTACAACTTTTGTCTGGCCTATTTTTAAGACAAAACTTACCGTTTCAAAAACTTGTTGCTGTACCCGCACTGCAGTGCTATTCTCTTAATACAAACTCACTTTTCACTTCGGAATCCGCTTTGTGATTAGGACTAGAAGATTAGGACACGAGTTTCAAATAAATGACCCCTCAGAATCCTTATGGAAGCTGGCTCTCGGCCAATTTTTCTGTAACTTTGGGAGATGGATCATGATACGCAGAATAAAAGTCCCCATGAACCTGAAAAACATATGTGTACATCACCAAATCCATTTCTGAATTCACGTTCAACAGAAACATTATACAGAAGTACATTTTCGACTTGACACGTTGTAGCTCCTTATCTATGAACTTTTGGCCATTGGGCCCACAGGGTATTTTATTCCACGTATCATAAGCTATCATCTCCCAATGTTACAGAAAAATTGGCCGAGAGCCAGCTTCCATAAGGATTCTGCGGGGTCCTTTCAAATCATACCGGCGAATTCCGAGGTGAAAAGTGAGTTTGATCTTACAGAATAACACGATTGGTAGGTATGGAACACCGTCAGATGCCCGAATAAATATGACTTAGTTCAAGTTGATTAAAAATGTATATTTGTTCTTCTTATCTACAAAATACAAGGATTTCCTGAGTGCGCGCTCTTTTACAATGTCCACTATGACGCTACAGTTTTAATCAGAAGTTAACAACTAAGTTACTAATGCTATTATATTGATCTTGTAGCTTAGTATCAAACTCTTTATCTGTGTTGGTTTTATTGTGATGTGGATCTAGCCAAGCGGAGAACTTTCACGAAGGAACTTTAGAAATTGCTAGAGTGTTTATAAACTTTTGCTTAGCTCTATTGGGTTTATTTAAAGATTTTCTAACACTGACGAGTTGAAACTTGATTTGCAGGTTGTTTAATCGTAACTAATGTTATCTTATAAAATATTTTTCTTGCATGTGTCTGTAAAGTTTTATAAGCCGATATAATATGCTGCCATTTGCTAAATTAAATTCGATTGTCATTTCATTCTTATTTCAGAGAAATTTCTAGTGAACGAAATATTTATATACACTTTGTGTGATTAATATAATTTATCGAGGTTCTTTTTTTTATTTATTTTTTTGTTTGTCAACTAAGAAGAAAAAGCCAAACATTGGCCCTCAGTGCATATAACATAAACATAAAATAATGTCAATTTCATGATGATTTTTCTTTCGAGAAATCTATAGAAAAACTAACTGTCCCAGCAAAGTACCGCCATAAAAAAAATAGGAGTTAGTGGTAGAGGGGTGAAAATTTAGAGTTGTATATTTTTTGTATGATGTATCATAAAAAATAAAAACAAACCCACCTTACCCACCCACCCTTAAAATTAAGGGGGATGAAAAATAGATGTTGTTCGATTCTCAGACCTATTGAATATGCATATAAAATTTCACGAAAATCGGTCGAGCCGTTTCGGAGTAGTTTAATCACGCACACCGTGTCACGAGAATTTTATATATTAGATGCAATAGGTACTTCACGGATGAGTGATCAAGATCATTAACTGTCATTGGGCCATGGTTGTTTCGTAGCACGCATTAGATGCAAAAAAGACCAGACACGCGACCCATGTAGTATTCTTAGTAAAGGTTGTTATTGATTTTTTTTTTATAGATAGGTCCGACAAATGACTCCACCCCACCTGATGTTAAGTGAAGGTGAAGTCCAGACGTGACGATAGCTGATACAGCAGTTTTACCTGCCACACCAGCCATCCTCACCCTGCCGGCCTGCATGTTGCTTCTTCACGCCTCTTTTAAAGGATCCCAGGTTGTAAGAGGGAGGGAACACGCGAGCGGGCAGAGCATTCCATTTACGGATAGTGCGACAAAGAAATGAGTCTCCAAATTTCTTTGTACGCGTTGGAATTGTGGCCACAGTTAGACGATGACAACGTAGGCCAGCGCGCGTGGTCCTCTGAAGGAAAGGAGAAGGTGGGATAAGAGAGAATAACTCCTCAGAACACTCGGCGTGGTACAGACGATAGAACGCGCTTAGTGACGCCACGTCACGGCGTAATTGAAGAGGCTCAAGGTGTTTAGTCACCTCCTCATCGCCTATGATGCGGATCGCGCGTCGCTGTAACCTATCCAAAGCATCGAGCAAGTACTTAGCGGAGCC